AAATAAGTGTTTTTTACTTAGCATCGTTTAATTCGTTACAAAAAAGTTATTTTAGTTAGTGAGTTTTCTGGGGTTCATTTTTTATTTTTTTTTTATCCTAAAGGAAAACACCAATCCAACACAGAATACAGTTCAAATCGCTCACATCTTATGGGTGAAAATTATCAAAAGCATGACAGGCCAAGTCATGGCTAAGCCATAACAAAAATAAATAAATAAATAAATAAATAAATAAAACAAAACAAAAAGTTCCAAACCTAAAGCTTATAGGTGGGGAAAATGCATGAGTACATTAAAACACTGGCAAACTATGAGATGTAAATGGCGGCAAGTAGCGAAACACTTTCAAGACTGTTCTCTAGTTTGAGTTAGTGGAGCTCTATTTGGTGAATATATAATGGTTTACTTTGCCTTACGTTGACTTTCTTTGTAAACAAGAGATGGTCTGCGTGCTAGCGATGGCTCTGTGTTGTGCCTCGGTGGTGGGGGAGGGGGCACCTGTTGAGGTGGTTAAAGTTGTACTAGAAGTTAACATTTTAGTCACTTTTAATAAGAGAGAGAGCTAGAGATACCTGCAAAAGTCAAAAAGGTTAATGTTTTTCAGGAGTATGTTTGAACTTGAACTCAACCGGTTGAAGAGAATGACTCAACATTAAATAGGATTAAAAGAACCAAGTGTTTTCCTTTAGTAGTTAGGTCTGTGTCTGCCAAGTATTACATGCAGTAGAGCTTGCTCTCATGAAAAACAATCAATTAGCCATAAGAAGCTAATAGTAAGTTTCAACTTTGACAGTTTTCAGGCTCTCAACATGACAAAATGGCAAAAAAAAATCCATCACTTTTAAAATGTTTACTTTGTGTTGGTTAAAAAAAATATCACAGACAAAATTAAACATTATAACAGAAGGGATTTTTTTGTGTCTTGTGTCATAATCAATGTTTAAGGAAGGTTGATCCATAAGTGGTTCTGCTTCACACAGATTTCAAACAAAACACAAATATACAAAAAGAATACAAGTGGATAAGAACACATTTATACCCCCAACCATAAAAAAATGACAGCTGGCCACATACATAGGAGCTCTTCTAAGTGAGGGTTTCCAGATACACACACACGCACCCTCCTATCTTCATAATTACTGTATAGTCAGCATGCCAGTGTTTGGGGGTGACTCTTAAAGTGAAATGTTGACAGCAGCAGAGCTGAGCTCAAGCTGGGACCTGTCAAAGGCCCGACACTGATATCATTATCCATGTAATTATTAACACTTAAGTGGACTACCTACTTATTTCAATATAATGGGTTTGAAAGCAAAGGCCAGATCCATGCTGCCCCCTTATTTCACAACTTCAGACCTTCTTGCGTCAATTATCAAAAGAAAATATGCTCTCCAGTTTCTTACAATTAGTTTAAATGCGGTTATTTTGCATTTGGACTGATTTCTTTTAATCCGTGCATTATATAAGAACACAGCTTACTGCACTTTCAGGTTTTTAGAAGGCTGTAAGTCAGGTAGTGAGAACCAAAATTTTTGAATATACAGTAGAGTGTCTTGCAAAAAAGTAAAACATTTTTTATTTTTTTTGGGGTCAAACTTCAGCGTATTTTGGGGCTATTCTATCATAACCTTAAAGCTTATTGGTGAAAGAAAAATTCTGTTGTGAGAATCTGACAGCTGTTAGCTATCCCTTCACTCTGCCCACAATAAAAAGAAAATAAAAAAACAATCAAATGCAACAAACTGTCTTCAGAAGCCATCTGTGAGATTTAATCTCAGAGTAACTCCAGCTGTTCTGTGAAAGCTTCAGGTGTTTATTCTATGTCTTGTTTTGATAACATTACTGAACAATAAAGACTCCAGAAAAAAGCGGATACCCCAGGTATAAAGTTTGGAAGAAGATTGAATCCAGCTTGGATTAGAAAATAATACCCCAAACTTTACACAACTCCCAGGGAAACATTCATCATCAAATGGGCAACCAGAGAAGGAGATGGTTAATCAGATAAGCCGACAAAAGGCCAATGGTACCTCTGGAGGATGTGCGGAAATCCAGTCTGATATGATCCTATTGTATTGTTGCATAGATGAATTCTACTGTATACCTTGCCATGTGAATGAAGGTTTTAGGGTTGACATAAATATTGTAAAAAAGGTGACAAGTTAACACAGATATAATTCATCAGTAGCTGCTGTGCATACTCTTTGTGATAATATATAACTACCTTTGCAAACACAGAGTAGAAGTGACAAGATAGAAACAGAAATAACTGGTTTGGAATGCTACAGGTAGGTCAGCCTCACTATATATTTCTAAGAAGTTGATCTTTTCATGAGACCCCAAAAAAATACACTGAAATTTGAAGGTGTAGTTTATCAAATGTAAAGAATTCTCAAGCGAATGAATCATTTTTTTGAGCTGTTTTTGCTCTTTTTCAATTAAGTGTTATTTGCTCAGAATGAATAAATTGTAAGGCAGATTAATCTTATGGAGGTTGATTTCCAGACACTGAGAAAAAGGAGCGTAAAAAAGCAGGACTCGGGGATCAGAAAGAGAACTCATGTTTGCATGCAAGTGCTCGTTTTGTTGGCAGAGCATTTCTGTGTTGTGACATTACATGAGAAATATGAGAAATGTCAGAGCAGCCTCTTCTCCTTTCCTGCTGGTGTAAATTAGATGTGAACCAGCAGGCCGCCAATGGCAGGAAGAAGCTATCCCACAAGCAGGGCTGACTGACTCATTGCAGCTCTGCTGTACTAAAGCTCAGCAGATGAGTTGAATAGGAGTGTGTGTTTAAAACTTAATGCAAGTGGCCCTTTGAAGGTCAGTGTGGAGCAAAGAGGGGCTGTTCCGTCTACTACTAATGGTATATTAATGATTCGAAATGCTCCTGCATCTCATGCACCGAGTTGAACTTACAAAACCAGAAAAGTGGAGACGCTTAAATGGATAGCAAATTACAGAACAAAGAAGGAGACAGACACACACACAAAAAAAATATTTAACAAATAAAGACAGAAAGCACTTACGGTTAATGGCGGATGTGTCCCTTTGCAATTTTTTACAGTGAGGTGGTTTTGTAAGAGTGAAAAACTGTAACTTTTGATTTGCCAGAATTTAGATATTATTAACCAAATATCTGTTAATCTACTGATAACAGCTCTTCTGATCAACCATTTACACATTTTTTATAAGGCAACTATCATAAGCCAATCATATCAGGTATAAATATTATGTACAGTATGGAGCAAAATGTTTCTCCAATGAAGTGTTTATTGTTTAGCTTTCCAGAATAAATAATTTATGAAATAAAAGATAATTAACTATATGTATAAAACACCTTTTAAAATGCTATGGTGAAAACTGATCTTATTTATTTCTAGTGCCTAATGTCTGTGAATGGAAAAAAGGTCAGGTCAAAAATATTCCTGAATACAATTAGCTGGGAGCTGTAGTATCACAATGCCAATATGCAATAAACTGTGTTCACTCAGACATGGCCACATATTTTATATATTTTATCTATCTGTGAAAGAGGTTGGATTGGTGTATTTTGATCAGACATGGGTTAGGGACAGGTAGAAGCATATATCAAGATTTTAAGGATTAAAGTTCAAAATCATACTATTCCAATTAGCGCTGCTGGTCAGCAGGCTGGAAAAGGACTGCTGCACTTTACTATACTCAAGAGAAAAAACGTTTTTTGGGGGGGGGATTACTATTATTATTATTATTATTACTATTATTATTAAACACAAAAAAGACAATGTCTGGAAAGTTAAGGGGTGCAACTGATCACTCAAGTTTACGCAACTTAAAAAAAAAAAAATTATACAGAATGGGTAGCATTTCTTATTGGTATACAGACTGAGACTTTTTAACCCAAGCAATACAGTATTGTGAAAAATTATGACCCTCGCACAGTTTCCTTTTCTTTTAATATTCTTAAATTTAAGCATGTCTAATCAGCCAAAGACAATCAGGTAAAATTTTAATTGTGTTTTCAGATGATGGTTCCATTTCCTAAATCCAGGCCGTATGTGAAAAAAGTACTTGTTCCCAATAACTAAAACTAATTGGACCACCCCTGGAAGCATCAACCATCATTATTTTAGTCTTTAAAATAGCTGTGGATACTTGGTAGAATAGTCTTGAATTGGCTACTTGGGAGACTGTTCATGTGTGAACAACATTTCTAAGAACAGCATTTCAGTTGAAACTGAGTTTGAAGTTTGACTAGGTCAGCCCAAAACCTACTTTTTGAGCATTTAAATTTGTGTCATGTTTTTACCTATACAATCTCCGCCTATTTAAGGTTTATACCACAAGCTCCTTAAGAATTTTCCGGTTAACAGCTTTGTTCATGTATTAATCAATTATGGCAACTTTTTCACCTTCTGAAGCAGCCAAACTACTCCAGACAGCTACATTATCATTTCCATCTTCAGCTGTTAATCTGAGGTTCTTGTATAAATTTGGTTTTAGTAAGCGCCTTATGCTGACAGATACACGTCTTAAAAAAAACAATAAAAAAAAAAACTAGGTAAGTACTGTCTTGATTCTAAAAGTTGAGCAGTATATACGGTGACCCTGGATGTGGTTCTGTGAATTATATTGAACTCCTTTAAAAAAAGATGCAATTAATCACTATAAATTGAGTTTAAGAAAGGAATAGAATTTTGGCAAATACCGTATTTATTTTCACATTGTGTCATTTCATGATTTGCAAAAAAAAAATTCTGATGTTACTCAGATCATGTTTATGCTATAGTACAATTCATTGTGAACAGAAACATTTTGTGGGAAAAAGGAAACTGCCCATTAAACCTGCTGATATTAGCTAATTATATATTTTTTATCTAAATACAATGAATATGTGGTATTTCTACTCGTGATGATGTGAGGAGAATCTCATGCCACCCATGCCAAGTAGAGTTTAAGTGTTACTGGCAGTGAGGGTGCATTTAAGTTCCCATCTGGCTTCTAAACGATGCTCTTACCTTGAATGTGGACATGGCTGGGTCCCTGTTATACCTGTCTATGGTGTGGAACTTGGACGAGTGGTTGAGCTCATGGTACAGCTCAGAATGTCTTTTGCGAGTGTGCATCACTTTCTGGAAGGGAAGAAAGGAAGGAACAGCAAAAATGAAGCAAATAGGAACAAATAAAAGATGAAAAAGAAAAAAGAATGGATATTGCATGATGGGGTTAATGTGGGAACAGGCATGGAAATGTGTAAAAAGAAAAATAAAGGCAGTGGGACTGCAGCAATGCCAGCCATGAAAAGGGGGGTTAGAAAAGGACATCTACAGATCGATCGATTGCTGACTCATGCTCATCCGTCTTCCACTTCAACAGTCTTTTATTGTTTAGGATTGTTGCAGACAAGTCCTTTACGTTCAAAATCGTGTTACAGTGACTGACAAAAATGCCATTAGTACAGACTGTTCCAAGCTAAAAAGGAGAATTGCCAATTCCAGATTTTGCTAGTACCGGTAACTAATTGTCTATGAAATAAAGGATATTTGCTTTAAGGATTAGTTAGATCCTTTTCAGAGACAATTCAAATCATGATCGTATAACAACAAAAAAAAATCTTTCGAATAAATTTATGTCAAAGATATATATATATATATATATATATATATATATATATATATATAAGAAATATTCAGAACTCTATTTGCCTGACAGTAACGTGTCTGTTTAAAGGCAATCCTGGATTGGTTAAGCAGAAGCTAATTATTAAAGCACTTTTCTGAGTTTGAAAGTGAAACAGGCAAATTCTAGCCCCACTCCTCCAACCAACTGACCAATTATACATATAGCTATAACTTCAAACATTGTACAATAACTCATATCAGACCCATACCTCTTCCTATTAAGGAACTTGCCTCTACTTTCCTTTTATGTTCTTTTTTAAAAAATATTCTGTGTAATAAAATTTAACCCCTGCTGAATACAATACAATCAGCAAAATGACAAAAGAAACACACAAAAAACAAAGAGTTTAGGTAAAAGATTTCATCACACGTCCGCTCAAAGAATAAACAAATAGAATATTCTTTTTTCCCCCTCAAATTCCTCTCAGAATGTGCCAGTTAATCAAAACTAAAAATTATTTTCCTTTCATTTATCATGGATATATAGTATATAATGCTTACTTACTGGCACTCCTTTGAAGCTTAAGTAAAATGCTAATTGGAATGAAATAATCTAAGATTAACACATTTTAAAAAAAGAAATCCATCTTGATACAAGTCATTTTTGAATGTTTGAAATCTTGTCATCAAGTAAATATTTTTAATAAAATCACTGCTACCACATTTAATAGCAGTCATTAAAATTATTCTGAAAAAAACAACAACTATAATATTTGTTGATCAAAGTACACATTTTAAAACCCCAAAACCTCCTCTTTGCATTTCCACTGGTATGAAGAGAGCTGATAATTGCAGACACTCTTTAAAACAGGTAAGACAGACAAGAAGCAATAAACTGTTCTAGATGCCAATTTGTCTAGACGAGGTTCCAACTTTTCTTAAAATCAGACACATTATGGTGAATGATGACTGAAACAAAGCAAGGCCCAAAGCTCATTGTTAAAGCACTGCTTCAAAGAATCATTCAATCTCTATGACAACCATTTGGCCTGAATGGGAATTGTTTTTTTATTGTTTGTTTTGTTTCTTAGGTGGGTGGGCATGTAGAGAATAAACCCACTATGTTCAACTGCCACAAACACGAACAAGTGGAGTTTAGAAAACACAACCTGTGCTTTCACTAGAACACAGCGATCTGGTGATATGAGTCTAAGATTGACCTTTTCAGCAACAATCAGTTCAAGTGGGTGGGGTGAAATAAAGGCCAAAATATGTGGAAAAGCCTCTGATGCCTGTTTTTAGCTATGGTTGAAGATCTACAGTATGATGCTGTGTGCCTACTTCTGTTCTGAAGGGTGGTTGGACCTTGTTAGAGTGTGTCATGAACTGCCTCAAACAAAAATGATACAATATAACAGTCCGCTCAGAAAGGCTCCCAAGACAAAATCGACTTTTAACCAGAAAGAATATGCAACTATTTTTCCTTTGACTTAAAGGCAAACCACAGACCACCTAATTATTTGACATGTATGGGTTATTTTGAATTATTCCTTTTGCTCTATTATTTTTCCACCTGCTTGACTACTGGTCATGGCTAAGGCAAGGAAAAAGTTTAAACCTTCTCGACTTAAAAGAGAAAAAGGGATTGTGTGCAAGTAAAAACAAGAGTCGTTCTTGGAAAGGAGTGTGTTTGTGGCGCAGGCTGAAAGAAGAAGCCTGATGTAAAATTAATTCTCTTTTCTAAACTCTATTATTAGACTGGTAGGTTAACACTTTGCTTCTAGTATAGTCATATATCTTTGTTATTTTTTATGCCAACTATTGTAAAAGTTACAGGTCTGCTGCCACTAGTGGCCAAAAATTACACAGTGTGCCTTTAAGTACAAAAATATTTTCTTTAATTTCAGTGAAAGTATACCACTGGAACGAAAAATAAAGATAGCTTGATTTTTAAACTAGAAGTGCCAATAATGATGAAGGGTGCAGTAAATATATTTCTGAGGATGCAGGTGAATGTCTGGTCTTACCAACAGTGAGAGTGCCTTACATACAAAAGAGACAACAACAGTCGTATGTACAACGGAAGTTTTTTAGCGACTAGAATCTTAGAGGACAAGGGGTTAATTCAGAAAAAAAACATTCAAGAAAACAATACAAAACCATCATTTACCAACACATATAACCAGAGACATCAGCTTTAGTCACAAACTTCTGCGGCTCAAGAGTCAAGTAATCCAGACAAAAAAAGCAGTCAAGTCAACTGTTTCTTCAACCAGGATCCCACAAAGTCATGAGGTACAAATAGATGTACACCTCGATGATCTCTTCTTTCTTACACAAACAATGTCATTCAACATGAACAACAGTTTAGGGCCTTTGTTGCAGAAACAGCATACTGGGTACGGTAGCTCTAAAGAACAATTTTATTTAAGTGCAGGGGGAGACGAGGGTGGGAAGGTTGGGGGTTAAGCAATGCTTTTTGCTCCTCTATGTGTTAATTAGGTCCTGGCAAAAGCACAAGAAAGCAGAGACAGGCATATGGTAGTGGATGAGGTTTGAGATCTTACCTCAAAGTCCAGCTCAGAGTACCGTACTCTTTTCCTCTGGAAGAGGAGGGGGCAGGGGGAGAGAAGACAGCATCAATAACTAGCCTGAACTGAAACGGATTTTCACGATCCTCCCTTGTGGACCCCTTCCTTTATTAAATATATAGAAATCCTAATATGTACTGGCTGCCTAATACATCAAATAATTTTTAAATGTTAATCAAGGAATAAATTATTTCAATGTTAGGGTGTAATTACCTAAAATTTGTATTAAATTAATTTTTGACTCACTTACTTCTGACAAGTGAGTCATTTTATTCTTATGCTTTTTTTAAGGATCATTATGCTTGAAAAAAAAAACTGCATACCACATATTAGAGAAGGGTTCCTACTTTATTCATGCTTAGACCCTGCTTAACTAACTTTAAGTACCTTCAAAGCTTTAGAAAGTGGCACACAAACCAGCAGTTTAACAGCTGCAGATATTCCCAGCTCATCTGGCCACCACACTGCTTCAATTGCATTCCATCTCCTTCTTCCTTTCTGGCTCCAACTGTCTGACAGATTTGCATTTTGGCAAAGAGAGGGGCAGCTCTCCACAGTTAGTTAAAAGCTGCGTTAATTTTTCCAAAAGGCCAGAGTTGTTGAAATGATGCCATGTCAGCCATGGATTTAGAACAGGGGTGGTTGATTTCAGTCTTCAAGGATGTCCTGCGTGTTTTAGATACATTTCCTGCATGAACACCACTGATTTTAAAGGCTGGCTCATTTGCAGTTGAATGCAGAACCTAGTGACAGGCCTGAGAGAGAATTCAACTATTGGAATCAGAGGCATTGGGGCAGAAGCACATCAAGAGCATTTAGAACACTGGCCACTGCGTACCATAATTCACAACCACTGATTTAAACAATAAAGCAATATAGTTTTAGAGGTAGGTCCAGTTATTAGTTATTCTTTCTATATTATTACCCCTAAGTATTTACAATACAAGTAAAATACTTTAGACCTTACCTTTAACAGAGCAGTTCCTTGCTTAAACTTTTTTATAATGCCTTAGCATGTATTGATTACAATAGTTGTGGTGAATCCTTGTCATCTGGTACTGGTGTCCTGCAAGTTTTATTTTCTTAATTTTTTCTGCTTTAAAGCACCCTGTTTAAATGGATGGGGTATTTGTCCAACTGAGTTTCACTTCTGAAACTGGTGTGTTTGCAAAAAATAAAAAATGCTCCCAAAACATACAGAACATTGTTTTAGATGCATATTGCTACTAAGGACCACAATGGCAGACTTCTAAATTACAAAGTGAAATTATTCAGCTTAGGAGGTGAATCTCAGCTTTCTTGATTTCCCTTTCTGTGTTAAAATGTAATTACAAGCACGCAATCCTTACCTTGAACAGAGCAATTCCATGACTGAGCTAACTTTACAATATGACATTCATGCATCATGCATATACCTGAGCTGTATATAGCATGTTTTGATGGTGACACACCTAAAGAAACTCCCTCACACAAATGATAAATTGGACTTATTCGAGCACATGAGCTTTTCCTTAAAATACTTTATGATCATACGCTTTTTAGAACTTCACATCATTCTGTTAACCATGAAAAACACAAAGAAAAATGAAAGCTGATAGTGGGTGTGGGTAATTTCTCATTTGCATGCTGCAGTGTTAAAGCTGTGGAGCAGAACACCCTTTTTTTAATCTTACGAGGCATACTCTTTTATTCATTTCTAAATCAAGCATAATCAAGGTGAAATATAGCAGCAATTTGGGTTTGGCAGGTTTCTCTGCAGAATCCTCCTTGTACTTCTCCTTTCTCGGTTCTCATAAAAGCTTTCGCAGTTCTTTAAAGCGTCCAATTCTCTTGATTTTTATGACTAAGCTTGAAATGACGCATCTTCAGTTCTTCAGCATCCAAGTTGATGCTTTCCTGTCTTTAATCAATCTGGTATGCCATTTCAATATTTAAAATATGTATATCTATAAGTTCCTGTGTTTGTGTGATTGCCTTTTTATGTATGTATGTATGTATGAATGACAATAGTTGTGTAGTTGTGTACACATTTACTGTAGGATGAAGACATTTGCCAAGGGGGCATTTCCTCTGATCCCGTCTGCCTTAGTCCATCTGCTGTGGCACCTTGTGCAGTCAGGATGGGGTTTTGCACAACAGTATCACACTCACATAAGGATGGTAAACTAATAAGAAGCCTTCTGTCGATATGGGAATGACTCATTTTGGTGTCTCGGTTGGCAGCAATAAATACTAGTCAGCTGAAAATAATTGCAGTTGTTATAGCAGACTTGTTCTCAAGCACACTAAAGCGTTCTTGTGACAATATTTATTGGGAGTATTGTTCCTCAACAGATGTGTTGAAGAATGCCTTTTTTTAAAATTCAGCTGGTCTTGCTTAAAGACAACACCCTTTGGATTTACCATGTTTTCCTTAAGGGTAAACAGATTTACCCTACAAAGACATTAATGTTTTATCTCCATTGTTTTTCAAACATTCCTTGTTTGATACATTTTATTCCAAATGCCTTAATGACTTTATACAATTAATAAACATTTAATGCAACTTGAAGTTGTTGTTTTTTTGCACTGCATAAAACAGTTGTGTAAACTGAATAAGACACTTTAAATAACTAAACTTTTATTTTGAAAGGCTTCTTTCCACTTTAATTCATCACTGTTCCATCACTTACGTAGGCACTCCACCACATTTATAATAGTGAAAAACCAGTTAAACTAAAAGTTGTGAAGAATCAAGCCACTCCTTGGAACTATTTCTGGCCATTTTCCAAAGCCTTCTACTCACCTCCAGGGATCCCGCTGAGAGGCTGGTGTTGGCATTGGTGCTGCCCAGGTTGCGTGGAAGGGTGCGGGTTCTCTCCACAGTTGTTCCCCCTGTCAGAATCTGTCTGACTGATGGCCTCTGGCCTGGCTTTAGGTGGAGTGAATGCGCGTGGGAATGGATGTGTCCTCCGTGGGAGTGCACATGTCCACCTTGACCCATCAAGTGGCCATGCCCATGGGGCACGGTTTTGATAGTCCCGTAGGAGCGGTTTAGGTTCATGGTGATATTCATATCACCAACACTGGACGGTACAAAGTCCGCCGGATAGGCTTCACTCTCTGCTGGGTGAAGGGTAAGTGGAGAGGGAGGAGGGGGAAAGGGAGGGTCCTCAACTCCAATGTTGAGAGGTTTGTCTTCCCCACCAAGTCCCAGGCCTCCTCCTTGCGAAGAGGATGCTGGAGGTTTGAGACTGACTGTCCTACGAGGCAAGACCATGTAGTCTCCTTCCCCACCTCCACCACTTCCTCCCCCTCCACTCCCCCCACTTCCTGCACTTCCATCCTGGGAATTGTTGGAGGAAGCGGGAGGCCGAGCCCACCCTAATCCGCTCTCGGTACACAAGTATATTGGAGCAGTACTGCGTGGCTGGCCCTGCTGTCTCTGCTGGTCAACGTTTACCTCCTTCTTTAGGGGTGTCTCGCTGAGCTCATTAAGTCCTCCTAATGTTGGCACCTTATGAAAAAAAATACATTATATTTAATTTATTTACTAATTTTCCAGAAATTAAATAATCATTTTAATTTTACAAATAAAAATTATATTTTGGGATTTTTCAAAAATAATAACAGGCAGACTATTTTTCCCTCCTCTTATACAGTAATCATACCAAATAAAAAAACGTACCAAATAAGCCACTATTTCAAACCAGTACCTGTACAATGAGGTTTGGAGGTGGGATGTTTCCAGGAAGGGAACTGAAATTGACCCCCACGCCCCCCTCCTGATGTGCTGCAAGCTTTGGATCATCCTCATCATCCAGGGAGATTCGTGACAGGGTTCCAGTGATGGTGGCTGGGTTGCAGGTGTTGACCTCTTTGAAAATGACTGAAGGAAGAAAAGGGAATCAGAGAAAGATGCAACAACAGTAAGAAAGTATAAGACTGGCATGAGACAGGGGAGAGTAAGTCAGTTTAGCTTTTAAAAGGGTAAAAGCAGAGTTTAGGAGTTTTTAAGTAGGGAGTTGAATTAGGGAAATTGAAAATCATTTATTATTAAAGTAAATCAATTTGGAAAACAAAAGGAATTCATATATATTATCTAACAGAACACTAAACAAGTGAAGTAGGTTTAACATCTAGACAGATTGGTTAAACTGCATTACTGAAGGAATGTTTTCTTTCACATTCTAGATTGTATCCCTTTTTAACCAGATAGCAAGCAAATAATGTATGCTATATGTAGTGTCAGACATGCAACAATTATGTTATTGAAGGTTACAATGGCCTATCAGGAGACATTTCTGTCTATATGTCCTATGTGCAGATCTATATATTAAGTTCAGGAAAAACTGTCCTATCTAAGACAATGCATAAATGCACACAGCATACACACTGTGAGGAAAGTGGGTACCCTTAAACTGCCACTCCCACTGAGAAATTTAGATGACAGTTACATTTACAGTTTAAGCAGGACATGTATTCAAGATGTATGCATTTAACAATTGCAAGAAGAAAAATTAAAATCTGTTCCTAAAAAATCTCTTCTTGTTCCAAATGGCATAGTGTCATGCTATTCACAATTGCCAGCAGCAACATCAAACATAAATCAGGACAAGCTGGAAACCATGCTTAGCTTGCTTAGCATAACAGTCAAACATTAGCCATAGAGTTTAAAAATGACTTGGTGACCCTGAGATTCACACACATATCTGATAGTTCCAAATTATTTCATTCAAATGTCCAACTAGAAGACTGAGGAACTGATTTCATGTAAAATGAGTCAAGCAACATGCATGATGATCGAGCATATAGCCTCAGATTTATTTAACTATATAATTATTGAGAATCGGTCAAAAGGAGCAGAATGGTTAAAGGACGTGGGATCCTTTATAAATGTATGAACTTAGAAGAAAATAAAAAAAAAGAACTATAGAAGAATCTGGCACCCTTTTAATGTGTTATATAGAATAGTACAACATTGATAAAAAAAACAAAAAACTTATTTTAGATATTAGTTAAATGGATTTTAAAATAACCATTAAAAACATTTCATGAAAATATAAATAAAACTGTTTTATTCAAACTTCTTAGCCATACTCTTCAAAGTGAAATCTGTTCATAAAACACTATCAACTGAATGTCATCTTGTGGCTTTAGTTGCAGAACTCAGTGGAAGCAACTTCTGTAGACATTTCACATAATCGTCTTTACTTAAAGGCTGGAAAGGTATTGTACCCACGTCTAAGACCTCTATGCTAAGGTGACAACAGAAGCTTTAAAAAAGATGACTTGTCAGGCAAGCCAACAACAGCAATTTATAAAAACGTCAAATAAATATTTGTTGCTTTTAATCTGGAGAAATTTTGGGGACAAAAACAAAACACTGATAGAGTTACGGGTGAGATAAGGACACTGCACTGTTGGCAACTGCCTCACAGCTACCTACTGCTGCTAAACTAAAGGCTCTGGACTCATGCTGATTTGTTTGATTCTAGTTAAAATCATATATACTTTACCTAAACAAGATTATTGTTCACTGAAAAGTTATTTTAAGATTTACTAAATCCTTGCATTTATTAAAGAAAAAAAACTTGCAATGGGACTTTCAAGCGAGTTTGCATCTTGCTTTTGAACGTGCTTAAAATAGATGCAAAAACTAGACCAGCAATCTTTTTCAGGCTTGATGAATGGCCTTGCAGGTGATAGTAACATATGCAAGTCTTCCTCTATGCTTTTTTTTATTTCCTACTGATCAGCACATATTCTGTGTTTTAATTTAACTTTATTTAATTTACTTTTTTTCATGTCACAGACCATTTCAATTTGCACCTGGTTAGTTGATTAGCTTTGCAAAGTATATAAAGTTTGCATGTGTTTTACACGCAGACCTTTAGAGGATCAGATCTTTTGTCAAAGTATTGCGCCCCTTTAAAAACCTTTAGTATAGCACTATTAGGGCAGACCAAATGGGCAGCTGTCCCTTGTCTAAAGTAAAGATGCACCACTTTTTTTAAGCTTAAAATTTTCTTAATACAGACTAAAACTGAATTAGATTTCTATCAGCAATGGCACAAAACATTGTTAAAAAAACAGGAATAAATAACAGGAATACAGTTTTCCCTTTTGAGTAGATTCTGATGACTATTCCATTCCACTTACTTCCTTTTAAACATACTTTTATTTCATTTTCAGCACCTTTAATATGTGCTCTTATCTTAGATGAAGCATCAACACTAGGCTTTTAATGTCAGCAGGAACTTTAAGAGTTTATGGTTCTTTGTCCACTGTTAAAAATAACATCCAGTTTGTGAAGCTTTTACAGTAGTGTAGAGAATAATATTAGTGATATTTTTTTTTATTATTGGATAAAAATAATTTGAATATAATGGTTAAACTTCATATATTCTAGCACTCTGGTGCTAACATGGAATGTATTGTAAAAAAGCAAAAACTAAATCCTATAAATAATAGTTTGCAATGAAGTGACTCTGGAAATGATGTTGGTTTTCAGTGAACAACCCATAGTCAAAGCCTGTTGTTTTTAAGGTCCATGAAGGTCCATTCTCCTAAGCACATTCCAAGTGAAATGTATATCATTGGCTGGATAGTTTTTTTTTTGTGTGTGCAAGGGCTATGGCTGTCCATTTGACCCAGATGGCCCAACAAATAGCACATACACATAGCCAAATGGTCTGATCCATAGTTCAAACTCAACAAAAGACTCGAATAACCCAGACGAACAGGTTTGTCATTGATTTGCAATTGACTTGGAATGTGCTTTGAAGGGTAGATCTCCATGATGCCTAAAAACATCACAGATAGATCTGCAAGCTTATATAAAGGATAAAGATTAGAAACATCTTCAGAAAATTGAAAACACCAGTTGCCTCAGATTTGAGCTGTTTTGTGGTTGCCGTGACCTCGATATGACTGAGAATTTACACAGGCATCTGTATATATATATATATATATATATATATATATATGTTTTTTATTTATTATGACTATTGATGACTGATGTAACTTCCTGAAAAACAAACACTACTCAGCACAGCATTAATTACAAAAGGGTTCAACCTAAATTCTTCTATAGGGGAGATTAAAGTTCATTATGGTTCAGGTAGCGTTAAAAACATTAGGCGGCTGCAAAACTTACATGGGTGTCCTCTCTCTGCAAGGGTAGAGGGGGAAAGTGACTGTGTTAATACATCAAAGCACAACACACCAAACTGCGGTACATCTGTAATACAGCCAAACACCACTTTAGACCATTGTCAGCTAACGAATCAAACAGGTCTGAGCACACTAAGGAGTGTTATTACCATGCACAATTAAACACAGTCTCATCCAAACATATGCTTGCAGAACACTTATTGGGCAGAATCAGTGTGATTGATAAGGAATAGAAATTTGAACACAGCAATGTGGAGACATAGTGTATAAACTCCTGCCGTTTCATCAGCAAGCCAAGGATGCAACACCCTGCAATGCTAAAATGCATCAGGTAGACAGAGATAAAAGAGAGGCTGAGGGAGCAGATGGAGGGGAGGACTCACCTGTTTGACAAGCCAAGTCCACATCCTTCTCAAAATCCGTCTATAAAGAAAAGGAAAGAAATGAGAGAGGAAATGCAAGAGTGAGTCCTACATTAGCATTAGAGCATTTGGATCTCAATGCTTTAATGCTAGGATATGATCTGTTGCCTTGGCGAGGCTTTACGACTCAGTAGATTAGTATCAAGAACAAAAAGACACCCCCTTAGGTCATTCATCAAATGTTCAGCTCCTATTTTCCGTATAATAGAGCTGCTTACAAACTTTTTAAAACATAAAAACTCACATAAGATTTAAAAAAATATATATATATATATACTTGGAGCAAAAGCGCTGAAAAACTGCAACCACAACAGTTGATCCAAGAATAGACAGCGGAGCAAAAAACAAGAGGGAAAGTTTTTGTGAGGTTACTTTACAACTCATCAGTCACCACAACAACATTGAATGTTTGCAGAAACTGACACTGAGGCAGACCTATTACTTGCTGTGCTTGCTGAGGCAAAACTTTGTCTCACAGTTTAACAGTAAAAAGAAAGTGATTGGAAAAAATAAAAATGCTTTCTGTCTTTCCAGCTACTACCAACCACAGAGAAATTTAAACAAACAGCGATGAGTTCAATCCAAATTTAACATTTCAAGGGTATGTTGATAGGGTGTTGTGGACATTCCTCCATATATCCTCCACTAGAGGATATGGTGCTCATTGCAATTCAGGTGTAGATGTCCCTTCTACCAACACAACCAAACTTCTATATATTTACAAACGCCTTCATCTGGGTAATAAACCATGTTTTAGACAGTTTGAGCATGTGATGGGCAGAGAGAAAGTAGACAGTGTGGAGGAAAAACTGAAAAGAATGAAGGAGTAATGGTGTCCCATTTTAGCATCCCCATTAGCAGAAAAAAATAAATAAATAACTTAGTCTGCAAACAACCCACAGCTCCATTCAGAAATGACTCAATAGGTAAATGCAGAAATACAAATCAAATCTCATTTAATCAAATAAAGAAAATTAAAAAGATGAATTTTAACCTTGAGACATGAATGCAGTTATAGCCTAAGAACAGTCATTGAAGAGTGGAACATTCTTGAGTGTGATTAAATTCTTTCTAGTACCTAAGCCTTACGAGAAAACACACACACACACATACTGCTTGACTATTACTACTAACTCACAAAAGGTGCAATATGTAATATACTCAAAATTGAAGATGATAAAACTAAAAGATGTTTAGTAAAATAGATATTTTAGTAACAACTCTTTCACCTGCTGACCAAAATTTTTTGCATTATACAGCATCTAGATACTATAGTAGCTATAATTGATTTGCTTAGCCAGTGATTGTCTTTAGTGTTCTGCGCTTGGCTAAGTGAGGCTTTAAATGCAGTCGTACAGAAAAGTCATGCATACACTGTATGATTTTTTTTCAATGTTTGCACATAGCTACAGCTCACACTGTAGGACAAAACCCTGCGGTTTCGTCCTACAGTGTGAGTTCACAGCTCACAATGTATGTTGTCACACTGTGCAGCAATCTACCTGCTCAAACCGTACATCTAAAAACCACGTCGGATTGAGGTGGCGCTACTCAGACACGTCTATCCGGAAGCCAAACCAGTAGAAGAGGAATATGAAGCTCACCAGAGAGAAATGCTCTGCCTTGGCAATTTGTGCAATTTTGAGTGCTGAAAGCCGTAAGAAGAAAAGGCAGCGATGTATTTGGATAAAGACATGGCTGAGCAAACATGGTTACTACAATCTGTCAATTTTACAGAAAGAACTCCATTTCACTCGCCACCCCTAAATGCTTTTGTGTTTTCATCTGAGAGGAAGATAAAGAAGAAGAATCCTTGTTTGCCCATGCCCACTGAACGATATGCCCATGATGGTCGACTGAAAATCAAACTTTTAATTTTCTCCCGAACTTGTGATTCCTGATTGGTTAGTGGTCCTGATAGACTGATTCCCCTCGTTACCCCTTGTACACTACACGACGCACAACGCACGATCTGGCTGAAAGTCAGGCCGATCGGATAATTCTCGCACGACTGGAAAGTCGCCAGAAAATAGCAAAAAAATCACACAGTGTAAGCCTGGCTTAATTGTATAACATGAAATCCCTTCCCTCTGTTTAACATTGAACATTATAGAAACAAATAAATAGCCATGCCTGCTAAATATGGGTTATAGCGCTGAAGGAGGAGACACTGAAATAAAGGATAAGAAAAAATGAACATGAATGCATCACTGTCCATTTTAATAAGCAATGTTTTTACATTTATGAGCAGAGCAACTGTAAAAAATAAAATGGTGCTTTCCAGTAAGTGCTGTTCATTTCGCCTATTTGCTATTTTGTCTCTTTGTAGTTTTTGTCCACATCTAATGGCAGGTGGTACAATTACTTTCATTACATTAGGCTGGGTATGAAATGCTACTGTCTGCATAAGGATGTTTTGTCAAGACCATATCTAAGTCATAGGGGCATATTACATACTCACTTTAATGATGCAAAATTATTACTTTTTAAAGTCTTTTCCGGGAAAATTGTGTGACATAACTCCAATATATGACATGTACTTGTGGCAGCTAGTTTTAAGCTGAATGATCAGATGTAGGGAAGACTGGTGATGGTTATCACATTGTTACAATATTGTTCAAATTTCTTTAAAAAATTCCTTAAAAAAAAGAAAGTATAAAAATATGTTTAGAACAGGGCAAAGTTGCAAAGATTCAGTTCGTAAAACATTTTACTTATAATCCTGTATTGCTCTATTTAAAAATTAGAAAAAAATGGTGATAACAGAAACAAATGGTGATAACAAAAAACAACAGCACAGGGTGTCTCAACGTATGCGGATCATTGTCCTAATGTTATGTTAATGGGAGAAGAAAACAAAAATCAATTTATAGCTGAACCTTTTAATGTTGGAACTGTATTTTACCAATGTACATATATATAGAACAAAGATGAACAACTCTGTCAATTAATCTGTTATTTTTATACACTTTTTAAGGTCAGTGTGAGTGACCACTTTAGCTATAATCTTTTGCTGCTGTAATGCCACAATTTAAAGGATTTTCTATTCTACTCTTTTCTATTTTATTATATTCTAATTTATAAGAAAAAAAAATTCTTACTTTAAAGTAAGAAGAATAAATTAAAGTCCATTAGTCCATAGTTTCACGGTTTCTAACTGAAAGGTCCTGATTGATTTGTCATAAATCCATCATCTTGTTCTCTTCCCAGTTTTTACCAATGGGTATTGGGTAAATCCCAATTAAATGATCTTACCGACAAATTTTGGGCCTTGTCACCACAATATTCAACAGTTTTTCCATCAAATAATTTTTTGACCATTGAATTTTGATCTAGTTTTTCTTTCTATTTTTTTTTTCTTTTTATTTTCCTTTTAAAAATTTCAGTCCAAAAATTATTTTACCCTGCTGGCACAGATATTTAGGTCTGATAAAAATCAAATATGACAACCAACACAGATCCCCACATATATTTGACATATTTCAAAAGAGCAAACTTGTCCAAATAGGGATAAAAAAAAAGAACTAAATAGGGTGTAAAATGTCTGTGTGTTAATTTTATTTTAATAAATCACTTAAAGTATATCGGTGGTGCATACATTGCTTATGATTACTCCTCTCCATAGTGAAATAAATGCATTATGGAAATTTACACAAAAGATTAAGAGAAACTTTGATGTTAGGAACTTAAAAATCTATGTTTTGTTTAAGTAAAACAGCATGCAGCAAAAAGTCATACACATATTAAACTGCTTGTTTAGCGAGCTGTTTTTTTAGCTGTCTTCTAGGTTAGCCTATTATATCCTCTTTCCACACTATAAAATGACATTAGACTTAGACATTTGCTATTTGCTGGCTTAAAATATTTCCTCTAAGGTTTTGCCTTTTATTGGTTAGATAAAAGACAAAGATTGTGGCTTTTTGTTTAACAAAGTATATGAAGAAGTTTTTCTTTACAGAGGGTGTAATCGTTATTTTTCAATATTAGTTTATCTTTTCTACGTAATATAATTTTACAGATTGCACCTTTTTATTAAATAAACCTAAAATCTACTGATTGCTAGTATTTCTATTTTTTTTTCCTATGGATGACATACTGATCGGCTGTTGATGTGATTAGGGGCGTGGTTGTGGGTATTGTTGAGTAATGGGGTGTGCTCATGTGTGTGGGCGTGGTCCAGCACACAGTTGCGACTGCTGTTAGGTAGATCGAGGTAACAGGCTTGCTGGCTTGTGTGGTGGCACGTTGGTGTTGGAAGCTGCGGATGACAGCCAGACGAACAGAGGGGGGTGCTCTGACGAGAGTCATGCTGCTGTCCACAAACGCCCCTCTGATAATAAAAAGGGGAAATTTTTTACATAAAACAGGACGCTAAAAAAAAAAAAAGGATATTCAGTCCATTTTTTTTTTTTTTTGTCAAATAATGAAATTATTTGTTTAATTTGACCAAGTTTAGCTACAGATTAACACCTTTACCGTGCCTCTAAAGGTCAAGGGTTTTATGTACTAATAAGACTTCCTCTGCCATAACAAGGGCACCTGAGTAAGTACTCCCTCTAATTCTAATGTTCACATAACTTGCTGTGGCCTCCGTAAATTATCCATCACAGTAAATGTCCTCAAGGATAATGTGTCTCTTACACAACAGTTGTGTGTACGGGCAACTTGAAAAGGCCATGTGAAAAGTCCTAGTTTAGCATTCTCACATCAAACAAGCAACTACACTGACTCTTCTTTATATACCTCACCCTTAAGCTTTGAACATAGCCATTCAAATGTATTTTACCTATATAAAAAACTTTAATTAAAAAACACAGCTGTAACCATCAGATAAACCTGGTCTGAGAAAAACAGTGGCAATAGCTGCTCAGAGTTACAGTTTGACCGTACTGACATTGGCTAGGCTCCCAAGTCCTGGTGATTTATCACGTTATTAAGCACATTTGGAACACATACAACAACCTTACAGCCGCTTTGTGCTCTTTGAGTAAAGACAAAGAAAGTAGGGTGAAAAGTCAAAAAAAAGTGCTGAGGTGTGTGATCTGAAACTACATAATTGCAATAGTGGGAGTAATTAGTTTTATCTTTACCAACAGACAATTGAGGTGGCGAAGAAGCTTTTGTAAGTGGATTGCAAAATTGTTGTTTTAAAAAGCTTAAGGAGAGGCATAAATGTACAATTTTGTAAAGCTTTTGTTTCTTTAAAAAAATGCTGTTTGGAAAACAAAGAATGGAAACAAAAATGGTTAAATACTACAGCATTCCTATAAAGGGAAACCATGGTTATGGGGGGAAAAAGAAAGGGATGATTACAATTTCTCCCTATTATAAAGCAGTCATGCGTTTTCAAAATTGCATTTAAAGCTTGCAGGAAGCACAGTTTGATTCTCTGAGGAACATGAACAGCTGTGTGGGATGAAATGGAATGCTATTCACCATGATCTGCACCTGTCCGTTCTTGCAGGAGTCAGGGGAGTTTTCACTGTCGTCTTTACATCCCCCCATTCGACAACGCACTGCATCTTGCACCTACGGGATGGGGCGGGGGACAACAGGGAGGGGCGAGTAGGAGATGCCGGAGAGTAAGAGGAAACATAGACAGGAAAAGAAGGAGGGGAGAGGAATGATAAGGGAGAGGAGGAGATGATGCAAAGGAGAGAAGTTAGTGCAGGCACTTTGATTTTTTTCGGTAAATGAGTGAGCACAGGGAAGTTATGCTAAAAACATTTGTCCCATGACTTTTGATTTAAACTTACTTACATGCCCCTTTATATAGTCTCAGATTGTGACTATAGAACCATAACCTTAAGTGTACTTTGTGTTTCTGGTTCAGACCAACATCATATTGCATAATTGTGAAGTGAAAGAGAAATTTTGGATTATTTTGAGGGAATTTGAAAACTGAGGTAGGAGTTCATATTAAGCTTCTAGCATTCTCTTACCGCAGCATAAAATCCTGTGCAGCAGATTACCTCTACAAGTCACCAAATTTTAAGATGGAGGCAAGCAACTAAAGGATTACTACTGGAATATGTTACTCAATAGTGCTATCAAGAACCATGGACCCACTGGGGAGGTCAGATGCAACATTTTGGAGAGGTCCAAATGTAGGATTAGCTATATAACAATGTCCTGCATTTTAAATTTGTTGCTTGAACACCATTAAGTCCATTATCTAAAAAAAAAAAAGACAAAGGCTATGTCACAATTGTAGATCTTATAATACTTGGCTATTCACTTTAATGTATTGGCATGGTAACCACAATAGACATGTTTCCATCAACCTTTTTTCTACCCATTTTGAAGTACTGCAGTGGAAAAAGTTAATGGAGACAACAAAAAAAACTTTAGGTGTTCAACTTAAAAAAACAAACAAACAAACAAAAAAAACTAAATACTAAAGAGGAGATGGAAACAAATTTTTCAAATAAGTCCTGACCTAGTGAACAACCTCCCATTATTGATCAGCCGTTCCTACCGCCGTTGGCATCCTGAACAACAGCATTAGAATTATATTTCTCTCTTCCAGTTTCCAGATAGCATGAACCATCTCTATTACTAGCTGACATGATACAGTGAGCACAGCTTGCCCGATTACAAAACATTCAATAAAACCTCATTCAATCACTGATCTGTGGTTCGTGCTAGCTTGGTAACACTAAAAATTTGACCCTAATTTATGGGCACAAACTTGCAAGAGTGCCCTAGGGGCATCTGCCAACTCTAAGATCAATGGTGGAAGTACATAATGGAAGTTGGTCTATAAGTCAAAGTTGTTCCTAACATAATTTAAGTAAGTCATATTAAATCTACCTCTTTAAGGTCAAGTTTCTTAGCTACCAATGTTAAAATCCCTGTTAGTCCTCAGTGGATAATCAATATATTTTAGTGGTGGTATTTCACTAATAAGTTGTCTGCCTTAAGCCAGTAACAAAATAAAGAACCTTATCAGGATCATTCAATGCAACTGCACGGCTAAAGGACGATCATGACCCAACCAATCAGCAACACTCTTACCGAGCAGCATGGGTGCCTTCAGTCACCAGGAGCTTCCGGTTAGTTATCTCACTAGTATTAACTCAAAACTTTAAGGTACCTTCAATTCTGCTTTGTTCATTTCGGGTCATATGTTTCAGCTTTTTTGTCCTAAATTTCTCAATGATTATCCTCAGTAATTATTAAAGTGTTGAAGTACACTGCAATTTTTTTTTTTGTAGCTCAAGTGCATTTACAGTAGCTAATAATGTCAATAGTTTTGCATTACTCAAGTATTACTAGAAATAATTATTGTTTTGTCTGTTCTTTTGAATAAGGCCCTGGCAACATATTTTTGTAGTTTTCCCAGATTGTTTTTGTATTTCCCTACTTTGTCTAAATGGATATAAATGTGACGTTAAACGACACGTCTACAGCGACCAGTCTAGGCCTAAATTCAATTTCAAACCCTTAACAAAAAATAAACTAGCTTTCAGCAAATTTTCTCCATCTAAATATGACAGAACTTAAGACAAGACAGGTGGGTTTAGAAATTGAAAATGTTTAGGTTAAATATTTAGGCTAGACTTTTATTTGTAACAATGTTTAAACCTATTCATATGTCTATTCCCTATTTACAATTACAGCGTCTTATATCACACTAAAATACACTACACTTTATTTTTGAAATTAGGCAGTTGTCATACTGTTTTCTTCATATTCTCACACGCACCACATTGAGGTAAAGTTTTACCAGTTGAAATGAAAACTACATGGGTCCTGAAATCCCAAACCAGATCCTTGCCTTGTCACCAGGTTGTGTTTTATTGATGCTCGCCTCACTTTCCAATGTGTAGCGTCATTTCCCAGAGCTGCCACTGTCAAATGCTAGGTTCTCCCGAGTGAAAACAAGACAGACTTGAGGAAGAAGTTATCCAAGAGGTTTGTTCTCATGAAACCATCTTTGGTTGCATTGGGCTCCACTACAAATGGAATGGATTGCATCCCCATCTGATTAATACTGCATGGCCAAACATATTTGCTCTATTGTTTCCTTTTGTCTGTCGCTTCCATTTATGATCATGCTCATCCGCTCTGACATCTGCTGCCTGCTCACTGTGTGAACCATGAGAGAATGTCTGTATGCTGGTAATGAACTGCAACTCATCCCAGCATTATATTTCTTTTCCCTGCCATTCGTGAATCTCTAGAACTTCTGAAGGGTAACTAGGGAGCTTTTGTCCATAGTTATGTAGTGTTTTAGATGTGAGGATATACCAGACAAATCAGTCTGAAGAGTTAAGGTAGGACGTATAGTTTTGCATTTCACAAATTTAGCTTTCTTTGAAAAAATGGCAAACAAACAAAAAAAAAAGCAGTCTAATCAAGAGATCTAATCCAAGAATATACATGAAGGCACTCCAGTCAGATGAGACTAAACCTGAACTTTTAGGCAAAAATGTCAAAAGCTTTGTGTTGGTAAAACTTAACAATGCATACCACCCTAAACACACTGCACTTTCTATACTGATATGTACTATGTACTGTCAGAAATGGCAACTACCTCCAAGAGGATCATGCCTCTAATATGGTAGTGGTGATGTTTTTGTTTTTTTCTGCAAGATGTACAGTTAATCTGGAAAGATTGAACGGAAGTAAGCCATTAGATGGTGCCATTGTCCTCTGCTGGTCTGGAGGGCTTCCTGTTCTTCTCACCTCACACCTGCAGCCTATTGGGTCATCACTTCCTGAGAAGTATTTAAGGAGCAGACTGTCTTCACTTCCTCGCCAGAGTGTTTGCCAGTTTTGGGTACTCTAGTCCCTCAGAGTTTGCAGAGTCTACTTTGAGTCCAATTTTCTTCTAAGCTCATTCAGCACTAACCTAGTTTTGTCTTTGATTCTCCGGCAGGATTTTCCAGATCCACTGGATAAGCTGGCCTTTTAAGCCTTGGAAGGTATACACTCATCACACTGAGAAAAGGAGTCAGATCTCCTCATCTGAACACTGAGCCCTTCAGGAACCTTGTGTCAGTCTGCTAAGCTGCTCCTCAGGATCTCCAAAGTCTGCCTGTCCGCCCTTCAACGAACAACTCTTCTACAGACCAAGTCTCCACAAACAGAATCTCAGAAAACCCTCCCCAACAACCACAGTGAGTCCAAGTATACCTAATATAAGACCATCGGCCAGTTTTCCCACAGTCCTTGAACTCACCACTCTTATCTCCTCCTACAGCTTCGGCTTCCGGTTCACCTGAACGCAGGAACCTCCCCGAGCTGAAGTACTGTTTTTTCCCATCTCTGTACAGAACCCTTCAATAAACTGCTAAACGTTTTTCGGTCTCTGTCAGTGCTTCTGCATGTGGGTCAAACATATTAGACCCATCATTACAGTGTCTTTTTCAAATTAAATTTATATGTTGAGTAGAAGCCAAATATCTCTAACTGTTTGATCAGACAAGGCAGTGAAATAGCAAATTATATCTTCTGTGAACAAGCCTATTGTATGAAGTTTATTATGTGTATCAATACCCATGAGATCCTTATGTTGACTTAAGTGTTGTGCCAGTGGTTCAATATAGATTGCAAATAGTGTTGGTGATAGACAGCAGCCCTGGCGTGTGGAACGCTCCAGTCTTATATTGTCAGTTAGATTTCCATTAATCTTGATTCTGGCCACTGGGGATTGGTATAAGGTCCTTACACATTGTACAGCCTTTTCATTGAAGCCAAATTTTTTAAGTGTTTTATATAAGAAATTCCAGCTTACTCTGTCAAAAGCTTTCTCTGCAGCGAGACTGATTAAAACAGCTTTTAATTTTTTATTTTGAATATGGTCTATGATGTGAAGTGCTCTCCTTATATTATCTCGCGTTCGGCGACCTTTAATAAATCCTGTTTCGTCCTCGTCTATGATATCTCCAATGAATTGATCAAATCGATTTGCTAATATTGAGGTATAAATTTTATAATCCATGTTCAGAATAGATATAGGTCTATAGTCGGAGCATGTCTCACTTTTCCTCTTTTTTGGAATGACTGTTATAATTGCTTCTTTCCATTATGGAGGAAGCACTGCATGTTCCAAAGTATAATTAAATGATTTTTCTAGTAATGGTAGAAAATCCTCAATAAACGATTTATACCACTCGGATGGCAATCCATCACTACCTGGTGTTTTACTGTTTTTTTTTTTTTTTTATTAATTGCTTTTTCTATTTCTATTTTTGTTATTTGAGAGGTGAGAAGTTTGTTTTGGGTTTCTCCAATTGAGGGCAAGTCAAGTGAATCTAAGAAGGTTTCTGTCTGTCCATCTTCAGCAGAGGGAGGCTGACTATATGGTCTCTGATAGCACGTCCTAAACATGTCCTCAATAGTTGCAGGGTTGTGTGTCATCTGATTTGTATCACCATACTTTAATTTGTAGATATTTATATCTGACTGTTGTTTTTTTCAGTTTCTTTGCCAGGCGTTTATGACATTTGAATCTGACTTTATGATATGATTGTCTGATAAATTTGAATTCATTTTCAATTTTGTATGTAAGTATTTTATCAATGTTATTTCTTAATTATTTTATCCTAATAAACAGGTTTGGATCTTAAGTAAATTTTTTTTTTCCTAATTCTATTAATTTAGCTCTTTCTTACACTCTGGATTTCTTAAAGGCCACAGTTTTTTATATAAATTTTCCTCTTAGTACTGCCTTAAGCGGTCCCAGAGTATTAATGGATTAACCTGTCCGTCATCATTCTCTTCTATATAAGTTTTTATCTCATGGGAAATTTCAGCTAAGTAGTGGGTATAATCTTTTATATTGGGGTTCAATTCCCTCCAGAATCCAACAAATCCAAATTCTTCAAGTGCTATTTTGTATTTCTATTTTTTCCATAAAGATTTTTTTTTGTGGATGAAATTTGCTGTTTTTTTCATAATTAATTGAATCAAGCTTCGTGTTCGATATCATATTGATACCCCCACCCAAGATCAGTATTCGAATATCAGCTGTCGAATTTTACTGAGTTGTAAATTAGAATTGAGACTCCTCTTTATGTCCATGTCTGAATGAACTAAACCATGTATTGGTGTAGCCAAAGCCCCTAAGCTTTTCATGTTCCTGTTTAGACAGGTGTGTTTCCCTTTATATAGATTGTCTGTGCTTCTTCTTTACACGTTTTAGTTAAAAATGTTTGCGTTTTATAGAATTATTCATACCATTCATATTCAACAAAACAACTTGATGTCATGAACCATTAATTAGATTAGAAAAGACACCATGTGACATCAAAAAAAGAAACCTCAACAAATAACTGAACAAGTTATTAGAACCTATCATATCATTCATAGCTCTATTTCTTTCTAATGTCTCAAGCAGCTCATCTTTCATTTCCAAGCAGGTCAGCTATTCAGGTCTGTGCATCGGTGATGTTTCCCTTCTGGTTCGGCAGCTTGCGCATAATTTCTTCCCTGAATCTGCTGCAATCTTCTGTCATTGTAGCCTTTACGTCTTCTTTGAGTTCTTCTACAGTATATTGTGCTTCATTTCGTTTTAAATTCTCTTAAGGCTTTCGAAAGTGTCTTGATACTCTCCAGAGTGTATTGTTGTGAGTCCATGCCAGCTTTCTTCGAGGTAGCATTAGCATCATCTTCAATAGCATCTCCCGACTGGTCACCACAATCTTGTGCTTTAGAGGTTTTCTTTTTGGACTTGTTAGTTTTTGGCCTCTTCCCCCTCTAAGTGGTTTTGCCTATGGTTCTGATATTTACTGAGTTAAGAGAGGAGGGGGGAGTTTTAATTACCAACACAGAGGAGCCTGTTTTTATGCGGCAATCTTGTTGCAGCTTTGACCCGGAAGTCCTACATGTAACTTTTTAGGTGTTTATTCTCTTGCTTCTCTTTGGCAAACCTTTGCCATCGTGTGTACCTTGCTTGGCTGCTCTGGTTTATGTTATTCTCAATCAGACTTTATTCTGTCTTGTATCATGTTCTCTGGATAGTAAATCTAATTATCATCTCTCTCTATCCTTCTCCCCTTTTTATGCACAAGTTGGGAAGGATTTATTTTTACTCGTCTCTTGTAGGGGGGGGAATTTTCATACATTTACAATAAATAATTCCTGGATTTACTATAAACTGATTCCTGCCACATTTGTGATATTGACTTAATGCAGCTGAGCGTTTGGAGCATTTGAGAATCCACTTATGCCATGCAGCGCGTCACATCCATTAATAATCTCTAGGAGTGATGCCGAACCTGTGTGTTTACCTCGCTCATCTGTTGCTGTTGCGTGAGCTCACATCAGCAACAGATGACATATTAAAATTTATTGAAAAGTGATGACATTGTAAAGCCATTAATTGTGAGTAGTGTGTGCATGTGAGTGTTTGCGTCCTTTTCAAGGGCATAGCAGCACATATATTCATAATGAGCTAGGAATGTAGGATGCCTGGGGCTACAGCAAAGACTGTGGAAAAAAAGGCACTGACTGCTGTTCCATAAAACATTTCGGAAAGGCTGTTAAAATTACTTGAATCAGTGAGATTATAGCTCATGGTAATGTTGCATTCTGAAGGGAAGTGCAGCAACAGAGGTGATAAAACGATGCTTTAACCTCCCTGATCTGCTCAAATTGTGTCAAAGCCTCGTGTCATCCTGGAAGAAAGTTGAATCATTCCCAGGCGGCAATGATCATAGCACATACAATCTGATAGAGTAGTATTAATATGAATAAAATCACACAAACTCCAGATACATTTTAATCAGATGGCAAAATGAAACTCACCTCTCTACGCATAGCACAATGAACAGTGATGATGACAAAACCTTGGACAGAGTCAAACACAGCAAAGAGGACCTGTAAGAAAAAAATAGAGCAGTTAGTTGCAGTTAGTTAAAATTTCAAATTTTGACTCAGTGATTAGCTTGGGCAAGTTTATCAGACACCATCTTGCAACAAAGTGTTGTCCTCATCTCTTTTGCAGAATTGGTCAGCGTATTCTGCTGTTAACTGAAAGTTTGGTGGTTCAAGCCCACCCAGGGATGTTTGCCTTTAAGGCTTAACAAGGCACTGGTATCAAACTATTCCACTTGCCTTTGAAGTAATCCCTTTTAAGTGCTGCATTGTAAGACTCTTCTCAACATTATATGGTTTAAAGATTTGTAGAAATATGCTGGTAAAAATTCTCAGTCATCTAGTTCATAGTCATTCCAAAAAATAAAAAAAAAACAATCCGCTGGCCTTTATTTCCAAGTTTGAAGATGTTTTGCTCCCCATCCAGGAAACCTTTTCAATTCGAAATGTCTGGAATTGTTTACTGCACAGTGTAGGGCCAGCTTAAGAGCACTATTATCCGTTCATGGTTACAATAACTTCAGGCCATTCTTCTAAACCTGTTCATATTTTTACCAAAGTGTTTTTATGACTTTTAAACTGTTCAGTTGTCTGAATAATTGGTATGCCTTAAATATATCAAGCTTTGTTTAAGTTTGAAGCCACATAATCTATAAATACCAATACCCATCAATGCAAATATAAGTGCGATCATATTAAGATTTGCATATGTCGTTATTTAACAGTTTTTACCAATAAGGAATCTTCAGTCTACTTAGGTTTCTTGTATCTTTTTTGTATCAGAACGATTTAATTTAGAATTGTTTTCACAATATGGAAATAATGTTTTTTGAATTTCCTGCAACTTTTCTAAAGTATACCAAAGGTTAATAAAAAAAAAAAATGTAAACTCATAATGTGTCAAGTCTGTACCTCTTTCAAAGATGGTTTTTCATCATGCTGATGTGTGTGTGGGTGTGTGTGTGTGTGGGGGGGGGGTCTGTGTGACTGACAGTAAATTAGCATGTTCTTGCTGTTGTGACACACATCACCTGGAAGAGTGTGGAGCGTCGATCAGTTATGGCCAGCACGGCCGACATCCAGGTCAGCGCTAACAGAGGGAGAACCACACAGGAGCTCCACAGGGACGCCCTGTCAGACAGGAAGGAAGGTATGGGTATGGGAGGGGGCAGAAGGAATGAGGAATTATTCAGACTCAAATCAAACAGGGCATCGCTGTTTAGTCCTAACATAGAATCACACAGAGATCAACCACACATTCTTTGGTGGGCAATTTAAAGCAGACAACCACACTATAATTTGGATCACACTTAATATTCTAACTGATGAGTGGAATACAATGTGTAATCATGTCTGAGGTTCTGACTCAACCAAGACTCACAATTACATGGTTTATGGACTTTGATTGCCACAATGGTAGGCTATGAGACAACACAGGCTCAACAGGCAACAGAAGACAGAACAAGACAAAAAAAAAAAAATGACAGGGAAAAAAATCATGCAAGCAAACAGTTACAGACTCATACTTTAAATTTGTGAGCTATCAATGGACAGGTCTATAAAAATATAACCATCTAAGACATGTACAGTACAAAAAATAGATATAGTTTAAATTACAGGTGTCTGATAAATTAATTTTAAACAAGGCTACAACAATATTCATTAGACCACATATTTATAACATTTTAAATAACACACAATTACAAAGAAATTAGAAACAAAAAAAGTAATTCATTTTTTAATTAAGAAAACAATTCTGGTTGTTAATGATGACTGATCGCCAACATCACTATTAAAATAATAATAGAACTTTATTGATCTCAAATTTGATAAATTTATCTCTGCATTTTCAACCATCCCCATGGGGAGCAGTGGGCTGCCATTGTATGGCCCCCGGGCAGCAATCAGGGGTTAAAGGTCTTGCTCATGAACCCAGAGTGGAGGTAGTGGGATTCTAACCGGGTACTTGCAACCTTCTCATAGGACAAGCTTACTGCTCTGACCCACTAGGCCACACTCCCCCAACCACGGTTGATATTGATAACCATGGTTGATATTGATAACTGTCTTTTACTACCAACTTTTATCATCAGATGAACATCATGATTGACAAAGCAACCTTTTTAAAACCATTGTAAGCCTTCGAAAAAAATCTGACATTAGCAGGTACAATTTTAGAAGTAATGTACTCTACCCTAAAATAATCTAGTTTTACTTATTGCTCTAAACTCCAGTGGTGATGATGAAGCATTTCAAGTTGTTTAAGGGCAGATCAGTTAACTTTAAAAATAAAGACCGGATTGATGAGATTAAAACTGAACATTGTCATTATACACATGATGTTTAAGGATACATGGAAAATTAACCTATGAACACCTAACAGACAATTAACTCTAATGTGAACTTAAGAGAATGCCTATTTTTAAGAAAATAGTTTGGGGAGATTTGGTTCAAGTTTAATGACATATTAATGTAGAAAGTTCCTCAGAGATTATTGATAAAACTCTGCAGATTGAATTAGGGCAGATATTTCAGCTTGGCAATACTCTAAGACACAACAGGAAGAGAGAGCAAGAATAATCCTGAGAATTGTCTGACTTAAATGCCATTGAACCTTAAAACATTAAGACGTTTTTCTATACGGTGAACATAAAAAACAAAACAAAAACACTTACTTACAATATTTAATGCATTTTTTTTATTACTTTGCTAACTTAAGTTATAACCAACAAATATCACAAATATAAGGGTTTAAAAGGCATGTGATCTGCATTGTGGGCTATCACTGCCATGTCACCGGCCAAGACCTTTTGTTTACATTACTGATGTGAATGCCGTGCCGTGTGAAAGAAGCACAGTGCAAAAGAGATAGATTAGAGCTAGACCCTGTTTCATCATTTACAAAAGAAATCTGTAGGATTAGTGGAAGATAATCATATGAGGAAATTGCTTTCTCCACTATAATAAAAATATAGCCTTGTCTATACTGGGGACATCTAAAAAAATTAGTTAATTAAAGAATAATTACAACAACTAATGAGTGGCTATTAAGACCTCTTATTAACCAATGCAAACTGGTTAAACACAATAAGGAAATTGATATTTAGTTTGTTTTTTAATCAAGAGAAGCATTTCAAAAGAAGCAGTTGAAATTTTGTATAAAATTTTAATAACTATGCCACCTAGATAGGTAGACTTAAAGGTTTTCAGCATAAGAAATATGCATATTAGTGCTACAGATAATTGTTTCCAACATGTCTACTTTCAAAAATACATTTAAATTCAAACCATATTTTATAAGCAGTATAAGTCTACTGCATAGACTGCATAAACTAGAATACTTCAAATGATGAACCGACTCCCACATGGCTCACTGCAAGATGTGCTTCACAATTAGCATTCATGACCATATGTAACGTAACATTTTGCTTTGTTTACATCTTTGTTGATGTATTTTTGCAAAGATTCTTCTAGTAAAGGTAGTAAATCTATGGTGGTAAAAACTTTGAAAGTGCTCCTAATAACTTTTTTAATCTTATCACATAACTTTTTGAGCAAATGGTAGATTTGTATTACAATTCAGAATTAAGTGTCTCCACAGAATAGATAAAAAGCTAAATCAAATTCATTTGCACATGATAATGATGCACAAAAGAACTAACAAAGCTGTAATCCAGCGTCTAATGTGAGATTGTTTTAATCACTTTCTTTTGCTGACGTTTTCATTGAAATTTGTACACAGCTCATGTTATTTGGTTTGTTTCCTTGTTTGCTACATTTTGTTATGCAATAACAATAGAAACAAAAGCAAAATAAAAAAAAAATACAAAAATAAAACAGAAAATGTCACTAAAAAGAAGATGATGATTGCTTAGGGAAATGGTGAGGAGAGATATGAACTCAATGCATCTATGTTTAGTCTGTTTTTTCAATGTTTCTTTATGCAGTACACATTATCCTTCAAGTTAATATACTCTAGATCTACAGCTATATTTTGCCAGAAGACAGCAAACCAGGTTATTTCTTGTAAGCATAATTCAGTCAATAACACAGATCATCTAGTACTGAAGTTGATGATGTTTAGTGAAATCAGATTCATTTGGTTTTGAGCACAAAATATTTTTCAAGACATGTTTTTTTTTTTTTTCAAACTCTATAGTTCACGTATCATTGGTTGGAGTACATACTGACTTTATTTGATGAGAGGTTTATTTAGAAAAAAAAGTTAAAGAAATTGCTTTAATGATTGTTTACATTGCAGGTGCATGCTAGTTCTTCCTAATTGTGTGTAGTCTTACTGAATCCTAGTAAAAAGTAACATCAAATAATATGAAGAGAAATTTGGAAAGTATGGGTATGTCATGATATGAGGAAAGACAGTATGACCTACTCTATATGTTCCCCGTGGCAATTATTTTTAAAGTTATTAACTATTGTATATATAAATTTTTAATTTACTTTGTCTTTGTTGTCTGAGTTTAGAATTATTATGTGATTAGTTTCTTCCACAGATAATTTGAAAACTACGCTTGTATTAATTCAAGGATTTAATACATTTTTTTACATGCTACATACAGTAGTACAAATGTTAAAGAAGCAGTCATTATAATGATAATAACATTACATTTTTTTTTCCTTTTGTCATGAAGCTGATTAAGATAAAGTTTCTGCTTATAGTTTTATGCATTTCATGTGACTGATTCTCCTATTTATATTATATTGTACAAATAGAGTTGGGAAAGAAACTATGTGATGAAAAGAAAATTATGTAAAAGAGAATTGACATTGATTGGTCGGTAATCCCGGTTAGAACACTGATCCTTGCATTACAGTCATGTTTTAAATAACGTCACCTTGCAAAATTATTTAAATCAATTCAATTCAGTTCATTTATATAGCATCAATTCAGAACACATGTCAACTCAAAGCTCTTTACAAATCCTTACAAATCCCTATGAATCTTTCACATTTGATATCCCAAAAACCCAAACTTTAATGCATTTTGTCTGGATTCTATTTGATTAACCAACAGTGGCACAGAGTTAAGAATTTAAATAAAGATAATGTATGATTTTTATTTTCTTTTTTTAACATTTAATACACGGGAGGCATGCATCTTCTTTTCAGGCCCTTTAACCTGAGACTTTTAGTGTAGGGATGGTTGTGGTGGTTGGTTTTCTGGTCTATAAGATTGTATTCGTTGTACGTTATAAAGCATGCTGGATTTCCAAACGTTACTGATATCTAAAGAAAGGTTTTACCTCTGATTTTGCAGAGGGCCCAAATTCTTTAAGGGAGAATCAATAACACATTCTTTAAAAAAGCTGGTTACTAATGTTTGACACCAAACAAAGTTAAAAAACAAACATTTTTAAAATTAGTTTTACATGTATTTATAATATTGCTCTCTTATGCATAGTGATAACTTTTGACCTTTACTTTTCATATAATAAATTCATTTGTATTGGGAGATCAAAGCCTTGAAAAAAATTTTTGATTGTTGATGACTATTGTCATAATTGGCCAAGTCTGTGATTAATTATTCAACGAGTCAAAGTGAATAGATGTTTAAGAGGCATTATTATGGGGGAATCAGCTGTAGTGCTTTTTGTGTTATTGGAAGTGTTTTGTTCTGTTTTAAGCTGTACCCTTGTTGCTTTATAAATATGTTTAAAGGAACCCTACGAAGGATTCATAAATAAAGTTTGACATAGGTCATATTTCTTAGTACCCTCGAAGGAGAGCTCACTTAGCATCAAAACATACTCTCATTAAACATCATTGACTTGTGGGGCAGGTGCTTTCCTTTTCATTAAACTGCTTTTGCTTCCCAGACAAGTCTGAAAGCTGTTCTGCATCATTACCGACAGCCAGAGATTAAAGAGTGAAGGGTGGAAGTGATGGTGGTGGTGGTGGGTGTAGAGTTGGAGCAGATAATGGAAATTAAGCGAAAAACAAGGTAAGAATAGAAATAGACACAGAGATGAACATGAACTAACATAGCGCTTCTGGCCGTCGAGCTGGACATAGCGGTACTCGAGATCACGCCACACTTGGAGCACTTCAGTAGCAGTCGGCTACGCGCCTCCGCTGGGACACTTTAGGACATATACATGCACACACATCACATGTGAAAGGGAAACAGGGAGGGGTGGAGGGAAGGAATGTTGAAAAACAAGCAACAGGGAACATGACAGGTGAAAGTCATGGGAAAATAAGAGGAAAATAATTAGATAAAGGAAAAAAAAGGAGAAAACGAACAAAGAGAGTGAGTGTGAAAAAAGAAAAAAAATGTGGGAGGGGGGGGACGAGAAAAGAACAAAAGAAAGTTAAATTAAAACCAGATCTTAAAAACGTAGCAGCAATGTAATACAGTCAGGATACAAAGACTAAATAAATTAAAGCAAGTATTGAGAATGTGAGAGACACACACTGCATTCAGTCATGTGAATTACCACATCACAGTGACACAGACATGAAGTGCACTAGCCCTGTGGTTCAAATTTATACTCTACATGCAGGTCTGTGTATTATCTGTGCAGCGACTGAGGGTTTATGAGAGAGAAAATTGACTGTTCTAGCTGTGTACTTCCAAATGGCGAAAAGGAGGCTCACACATTTGCCTGTATTGTGGATGAACATTGTGGAGAATAGCTCTGTTCAAGCTATGCTACATTAGCACAGTATCACAGATCATTACCTTGGCATCAACAATAAATACCCCATGGCTTCATAAATATGTACATTATGCCCTTATGTATGTTTGTGATGCTTTGTGTTTATGTAAGTTTGAGATATGTATATATATATATATATATGTATATATATTTTCTGACACGCTTAATCCCAAGTGGGGTCGCGAGGGGTGCTGGCGCCTATCTCCAGCTGTCTACGGGCGAGAGGCGGGGTACACCCTGGACAGGTCGCCAATAAATGGAAAGGTTCTTTGATAGCCCTGCAGTTCATGACATACACGTTCAGGAGCCATTTTCATCTGTTGATATAAATGCAAATAACCTTTCATTCCACACATTTAAGCCTAAAATCCAAAACCTTAAAAAAAATTCTGATTTCTCAGTAAGTTATTGTAATAATCTTAACAGAACCCTTTGCTTTATGAGGATGATAAATTAAATAAATTATTTAGATTTTTAATCAACAAGGCATTAAAGGTGTTATTTTAAAATCTGGTTTGTATTTTTTCTGAATGTGATTTTTTTATGTAATTATAAGTTTAAATTCAAACACTATTACACGTTTCTTAGTTTTATACATACAATTGCTTGGATAAAAGTGCCCTCAAAGAAGAACCCTTCTATTTTTGCAAAAATGTATGTGAACATGACAAAAACCATGAGTTTGGAGGGAGAGGTTTTGAAAACTTGCTTTTGAAAACTGAGTTAACTGTAATTTTGCAAGTTTAAAGGTTACACATATAGTTTTATTTTTTCCCTTAAATAGTGTTTTTGAAATAGGTAATTTTCCATGTTTTCCACAGTTGGCTCTATAGGCTCCATTAAGCAGTTCATGAGAGACTATTTCAGGTGAGATTCTCTGGGTGAGCGCATTGGTGTGTAATACAGCAGGCTCTTGTTCACCTGGCTGCTTACTTTGTTTAGTATCCTATGCCATCCTATGAATTAGCGAGAGAAAAATGTTGACTATTTTTGATGATGTATCTCAAAAGACCAGCCACAAGTGTACCTTAAATCTTATCACAAACTCCACGCAACAGGAAGAAAAAAAGCTATTGTATAGCGTGATAAAAAAAGGGCAAAATTATCATATCTTCGAATGATAAGTCACCCACAGTTAATTTAAATATCAGAGTAACTTCAATAAACAAAAGACATTAAATCGCAGCACCTGATCCTTTGTTCCTTTTTTAAATGGCATGCACAAGACTAGTGTTCTTTCAAATTATCACTACACATTGCAAACTTCTGCAAAATCTCTGCAACTTGTACTATATTCATTTAGGGCCCTGTCACACCTTGCCAATTTAGACACCATATGACTGACATTCCAGAATCTCCTAAAACACTGACATACGCTGAACTTTATGTGCATTTCTTTCAATTTTGGGCATATACATAGTGTATTTATAACGAAACCAGAGCATATGTCCAATGGCAGACAATCTTATGCATAATGCACGGCAGCGTAACGCCCATGAAATGATGCACAAGCCAGTGTCCTGAGGGGGCAACTATGTGACTGGAGGCGCCCGGTCTGCATAAAAAGATTCCTTTGGTCACGATGTTAACCTAGCTGCTGTTTACCCCCCCGAAAAAAAAAGAAAAGAAAAGAAAGAATGTTTGCAGTCGCAGCTGATTCAGCGTCATGTCTGCTTGGAAGTGAACCTGGTGCATATGGCCGTGAACGCAGGCATGATACTTCTCACTCACCTTCTCACTCACCCTACGATGGGGTTGAAGTCTGGAAGAGAACGGACGGTTTCCTCCTGTCAACCCCTTTTATACTAAAATGCTGCGAATATGCTATTGTACAGTAGCTTTACATTAGAAACACGTTCAGCGGTCATCTGGAGCACGTGAATATGTTGATATGCAATGGAGATAAGTTCTTGAATAGTTACTTATAAGTTATGCACAAGTTACTCATAGGTTTTGGATAAGCTAGACACCAAGCCTTATGAGTAACTTACACTTAACTTATGTCAACGATCAAATAACTTACCTATAACTTATGCCCCATGTAAGAGCATATGCCAACATACTTGCTCTCCCGTATGTCTCAGATTGCCATCACATACTTCTTATGCTCATAACTTATACAAAACATACCCATAACTTATCCAATGTATGCCAGGGGTTTTTCCAGATTTTTTGTATGTCAGGCAGATGCTGGTCTAGATCATCAATGTGTGACAGGGGCTTGAAGTCACAAAATCTTGGGAAATGAAAAGGTCATTCAGAATGGGGTCTTCCTTCAACAAGAGCTCGGTTAATGGTAACTTTCCTTTTGGTTGATATTAGCCATTTAGACTTGGTGGTCAGTGTTTGATTTGCTACACATTATGCTAGAGCTGGTGGCACCTGCAGAGACAACACATTCCCCCTCCCAACTCGTCACATCTTTGGTTTCTCAGAAGGGTATGGAAAGTTCCTGCGACAGCCTTCAATGAACCAGGCATGTCAGTTATTGACAAAAGGGGTATCCCTATCATGTCGGTATCTGATGTGCAGGGGACTTGACCAAGCTTACTTTTTTGACGAATTGGGAGTGAGACTGTAATGGTCTGAAAGGTACTGTACGCTTGGGCCAAACCTGCGTCAGTAAGCTCAGACAATATCCAGTTTATGAAAGAAAACCAACCCCCTTTAGGTTTGAGGTCCCCTCATTGTGAACTTTAACTGGAGAGCTTAATAAAGACTGGGTGTAGGCAATGTTGGTCAATGTTGTCCTCCAGTGCCACCATCCTGCTGCTTTTACATGCATCCCTTCTTGAGCACATCTGAAACAAATGAATGGTTAATGCCAGGCTTCTGCTAAACTTACTAACATGCCCAGGAGGTACTTTGTTTCAGGTTTGTTGGAGCAGAGATGCATACAAAAGCTGCAGGATGATGATATCTGACACTTTGTTTACCCCCAGATCTACTAAGCTTGACATTGACAAATGAAGCTAGATCACAAAACACCAGTTTTTAGTTTTTCCGACAGATTTTAAATACATTTCAAATAAAAACAAATGAACACGAATGAAAAATTATTGCCTGAGATTTTGTATATGTGTTTCTAAAATTAAGACTTCATTGTTCAGCACTGTGTCTCTGATTTCCTTGTCTTTTTCCTCAACTCCTATGATATTGCAATTGCTAACAAAAAATGGAAATGATATCACTATAAAGAATTCTTCATAGAATGAAGAATTTTATGGACAACCCTGAGCATCCTCTTTAGAAGGCTGTTAAACGATCTTCAATCAAAGGCCTCTTCAGATCCAGTGTAACATAAACCACAAAAGAATATCCTTCTTGCCTTCAGCTATTAACACATACAACAACCCATTGAAAGAAAAAAAAAAACAGGATTTAACTTCTTCTGGGATCAACAAACTATTTTTGATGAAATGAAACAAATCCAGAAGTCAAACCGGCCCCTAACCATACACAATAATGTTCTTGAATGCTTTTTTTCTGTTTTATCCATATAAAAGAACCATATTTTGCTGCACTTATAGAAACAAGTATGTTGATGTATTTTAGTTTCAGCATTGCAGATGTGGTCAGTATGGTTGTCCACAACAAATAGTGAAATAGTACAAACCGTATGAATATGCTGCTTGAAATAAACTGGCTGGAAATATGTTGAAGAATAAGAAGAAGCTATGAACATTTCAAAGATCAAGAAACAGCTTAACCTGTATTTGCGTTCTTATGGCATTTACAGAAATATTACCACAAAAAAAAGAAAATAAGATTTTAATCTCGTTCACATCCCCTGGTAGCAAAAGCTAATCAGCCCCCCAGAGAGCCAGCCTGTACAGTTATAAACAAACTATCAATTTCAATTTGAGCAATCAATGCACATTGAGGAAAATGCAATGAGACAGAGAAACAAAGAAAAAAGAAGTCAATGGAATCAATAGATGTGAAAATTAAAACATGGGTTTTTATATGTGAAAGCCAATGAGGTTTCCACTCAGAATTGGAAGAGATGATGAATGCCTGCTAACAAATTTGCATGCATATCACACGTGTAAATATATTATATGCATTCATGCTTTTTAGGTCTCTCCATTTTATTTACTCTTGTAGATTAGATTGCCAACTGCCTGTGATTTTTTTATCTCTTCCATGCTCATCTGCTTCACCCCACTGAGAGAACTAGATGGTTACCGTTTGTGGAGGTGATGCCGAGATGCATTTCAGAGAGCAACAGCACATAACAGATGTCTCGTCATCTCCTTGCCAAATTAGATAATATTTTCTGATTTTTGTAAACGGAGGCACAGGTGTACAAGTAGAAGCGTATGTGGAGAGATCCTTGGAAGCGTTTGAGTTATTTGCCAGGAAAATGTTTTCTGACAGAAGGCGAAATTTGCCTAATATGGAAAATCTGCTGTTGGTTTTAAAGCAAAAATATGTGTAAAGGAACAAGATAGGAGGTGTGCATGTGTACTATTTAAGTTAACTTACCCTGCTCGCTGCTTTTTAGATTTGTCTGAGATGCCATCACGAGACATGAGTTTGTTGAACACCACAATCCCAATCAGCATGTTTACCTGTTAGATGTAGAGAGAAGACAATAGCATATTAGCCACAGAAACTAAGGTGGTTGCTCTGTTTAATTCATGGTAAACATACCACTGTCTGGGTAAAAGACTTTTGACATATCGTAACTGGGAAAGTAAAAGCTTCCATGTAGCAGCACCATTTGCCAGGTTAAAACAGTTGTAAAAATATGGAAATAAATAGATTTATACAACAAAACACAATAAAATGAATAAATATGTCAACCAAATGTACAATACATACACAAGTTAGGACCAAATTAATGAATGAATAAATGAATAAAATAAAAGACACAAACTACAACAAAATAACAAATAAAAACATGAATAGATGAATCGAACAGAGTGGTGGAAAAATGAAATAAATAAACAATATATGAGCAAATCATTTAAAAGCTTTTATATTTTTCACTTTGGAACATATATATGTATATTAAGATCAACTTTAAAGAGCTAAATAAAGGATGGCTTTAAGGGAATTAAAATCATCTCTTAAAAAAAAGAAAATTCATGATCTTTTCTAAATAAAAGAAAATTTTAGATGGCTATGTCCAAAAATTAACAAAAATTTTTTTTATGTGTTTGAAAATGGGACACCGATCCCTTTACTTACTTGAGTATCATTATTCTTATTTGTATTTTGAAGTCATTGTCTGTATTTTTTTCTCATTTTTTTATTTGCTCAGAAAAATAGGTTCTGGCTGAGATAGAAAATAATATCCATGGTGGTACTGAACATAATAATATTAATAATAATAATACATTGTATTTAAAGCGCCTTTCAAAACACCCAAGGACTCTGTAAAACAAACATTATGAACAATAAAGTTCAAATTAGTTTTTTAGCCTTGATATAAACAGAGGTAAAGTACCACTATTGCAGATATCAGGAGGGGGTCAATTCTAGAGTTTAGGAGCAGAGCAGGAAAAAGCCATGGCGATGAGGTGGAATGAGGCTCAATAAGGTGGATGGGAGAAGAAGATTCAAGGATTCGTGAGGGAGTGATAATCTGAGGGGGATCTGAGACATACGGGGGAGCAAGATTATGGCTGACCTTAAATGTGAACAGGAGGAGTTTTAACTAAATTCTGAAGTAACAGGGAGGCAGTGAAGCTCCTGTAAGACTGGAGTGATGTGATGAAGTGAGAGGCTTTTGGTAATTCAATGAGCCACTGAATTCTGGACCAAATGAAGCTTATGGATGGATTTCTGATGAAGGCCAAGAGGAAGAGAGTTGCATTTGCAGGGAATGAGAGGAACGGAGACAATAAATGTTTTGTAGGTGAAACTATTATTAATGTTGGAGGTGAATGAGAAAGTGCAATGAAGGATGACACCCAGACCCTAGACCTGAGGAGAGGGAGAGAGAATTGAACTGTCAATTGAGAGACAAAAACAGTCACTCTTGGATAAAACTGATTTGGTTTCTAACATCTCTGTTTTGTTTAAATTTAGGAGGTTAGAGGTTAACCAGACTTTTGTTACAGTAAGGCGGGAGGTCAGGGATTATGGTAGGAGTAACCAAAAAATAGAGAGGGGTGTTATCCTTTTGGAAATGAAAATTCATATTTCATTTCCAAAAGATGTCACAAAGGGGCAGAAGCTAGATCATACTTGTATCAGCTCACGTAGTCAACTGGATCTCTCCATAGAGCTAAAGCTTACCATGTCGCCAACCAGCAGTCTATGGACTGAACCAACTCCAACTCAGCGCTAACGTGTCCTGCCGAGACCTGAGCGCCAAAGTCTTGAATTAATTGTATCAATAAAATTCTTCTAATTTTCTTTTTCCTTCCGTGTGAGTTTTTCATATTAAAATGATAATTACTACTTAAGGGGTCACTAAAGGCAATTTGTTGCACTGGATTTTATTTAAGAAAATCAAAGCAAACATGGCCCGAGCAAATATGAGTCATAATTATCATTTCTTTTGCACACTAAGTACTCATTTCTATAAACTTTACATTTTAATAATAGTAAAAATGTTCTTCTATCATACAAATTCCAAACCTTTTTCTGATGTACTACAAAGTGATGATTGTGGTTAATTATAAGGTCTATGAGTACTTTTTGAAGCATTGTAAAAGTTTTATTTTCCTCTGCAGTTTATTTGAGGAACCATTGCTGCTTACTGAAAATTTCTCCACTCACGGCTAACAACAAGATTTGAAGCATCACATTGAGGGAGTGAGTTTTGTCATGCTGGTCATGTCTGGCACCATCTCTGTGAGTCAGCATCATCCTGCTCTGCTATTTGCTCAAGGCCAGGTTCATTAATTAGAGAAGAGTCCAGCGGGAAGGTCGCTGTGTTTCTATGCCTAAAGCCCCACTCTCATTACAGCTGTTTGTTAGAGCAGAGGCCCTAGTGACAATACCACGGGGCTGGGCGCCACGTTGCAGCTGCGATTTGGAACATGCTTCGACATTGTGATGACAGCAGTGGAGAACAACTGAAAACAATTCACCAAGAAATAAAAATCAACTCTTCTAGTGCACAGCAAGGGTTTAACCAGAAGGGCGCTTTTTTTCATTTCTTCTTCGTAGTAAATGTTTCACACAATAAGCGCCCCCTATGGCCCAGGCCTGCTACTAGAACAACATCTTCTAAGGACTGCAGGAGCTCCACCAACTCCTAATAAATCTCCTTCAAATCAGGATCTTCACATCACTTCTCTATGATACCTCCATGTATCTACATGTTGCACCTGACTCAGATCTTAATAACAACATGTTAAATATGCAGGCAATACACAACTATAGATTGCAATGTATGTAGATGACATAAACTCAATATGCCCACATTTTACCCAACTGAATTAAGACACAGTTTACATAATTTATGGACTAAAGAAGAGATCTCAAAAATAAGAATACAGATTTAGCTATTGCAGCTAAAATTTAACAATCAGGCCTGGAATCTGGCTGTGGTGATGGACTCAGACTTGAACCTTCAGATGGACATAGAGACAGTAACTAAGTCGGCCTCTATTAACTCAAGAACATCTCCAGGATTAATGGACTGATCTCCAAGCAGAACCTTGAACAACTTATCCATGAGTTTATATCTAGTATAACTGATTATTGAACCGGTGTCTTCACAGATCTGCCTAAAAATTTAATTGGACAGCTGTATCTGATCCAGAGTTCTGCTGTGTGGGTCCTCATCAAAACTAAGAAATTGGAGCACATCACCCCAGTTCTAAACTCCTTACACTGGCTCCCAGTCTCCCACATAATAAATTTTAACATATTATGTTGGCCTATATACCATTGAATGACTTAGCAACAAACTACGTTACAGACTTGTTGTCAGTATACCAGTATATTACATTGGTAAAACGATCTAGAAATAAGTAAAAATTTCTTAAATTAAGTTTATTTACCCTTGATCTGAGTAGGTAAATGAGATAATTTGCCAACGAAATTAGTATTTTTACTCTTAAAATAAGATAATTAGATAATATCCACTTGAAATAAAACAATACAGTTGTGTTTTTCTTATTTTCAATCTAAATTGTCTTGTTCCAATGGCAAAATTTCTCTTTTATCTCCTCAATTCAATAACAAATGCACTAATTTTAAGAAAAAAATTACTTATATAGATTTAGATTTTTTGCAGTGTAAAAAAATTTTGTTTTTATGCTAAGCTAATATGGGATAGACTTTAAGAATACTGTAAAACTACTGAAACCATAAATTGCTATAAAAACAGATGAAATATATTTGATTATGTCATGATCTGTCCTGTTTGCTCCTCCCTAATTAGTAATTCCTCTCACCTGCCCTCTTCCTTCCCTGCCTCAATTATAATTTATTCCCCTCACCTGTATCCTCTGGTTTATATTCAGTTCAGCCTGAGCATTCAGTGCCAGATCATTGCTTGTCTTTCTGTCAGTCTTTCTGTTCAGTTTTATTTGGTTCATGTCCTGGATCCTAGCTGCCAGTGGAACGAGGGTTTTTTTGTTTGTCTCGTCTCCTGATCGTCCACTGTTCCTCCCCCACAGAGTCCTCTGGGTTTTGGCTCATTATGGGGGGAGGTTCAGTTTTTATCAAAGTAAGCCTGGCTTCAGGGAGGAGACCAGTTTAAAGTCCTGCTTCAAGTTCCGGTTCCACGTCCTGTCTCGGCTACCCTCTTCCACTGAGCCTGCCTGTCTGCACCTGATCCTGTCTGTTCCTGTGCGTGACCACCCGGTTATGCTTCTGGTCCCAGTCAGACTCTGAACCCTCCTGGGAGCCTGTGGATGCCTGGAAGTATGGATCCTGCCTGATCTGGATTCTGCCTGTTCCGTCTGTTCCTGTCTGTTCTGGATCCCTCACCAGGATCGGCTTCCAGCATCACCTCTGGGACTGCAGCACTGGGGACATTCGTGGTCTGGACTGTTAAATCAGGTAAGTGACCAACACAGATAATCTTCTATCAGTTGATCGTGGTCACTTACCTGTGTTTCTCCTAGAGTGTCTGAGATTGGGCGGTGCCTAGCCCCCCCGCCTGCAGTGTCCCCGAGCCACAGCTCTGCTTTTGTTTTGTTTTATTTATTTAATAAACGTTTTGAACATTCCTACTGACTGTCTCTCCTTGAATACTGGGTCCATCTGTCTGCATTTCATGGCAGATTAATGACCTTTGAATGTGCCACATAAAGGTTAATCATTAGTTATGTTCCTTCCTTCCTTCCTTCCTTCCTTCCTTCCTTCCTTCCTTCCTTCCTTCCTTCCTTCCTTCCTTCCTTCCTTCCTTCAATATAATCCTTTAATATAATCTTATTTTAGTTATTCTCTTTTTAACATTTAGGTTTGTCTTACTGCAGTGTACTTGCAGTGTACTGAAATGCGCTTTTTTTTAATAAACGTGTCTTGCCTTGCCAATTGTTGATTCAATTCAGTGGTTAGGAACATGTCATAATAAGATAAGGTAGTTGTCTTCAATCACAATCTGATATAATTTCAAAGAAGACAAGGAATGGGAAGAAAGGTAACGTAATAGTTTCCTTTCAAGCCTTAATATGATTTAATATGAATATTTGCAGCCATGAACTTGTGTTCATCCTTATAAACCCCCTACCAGACTCTCCTGTCAGAAACTTTGATAGAAGCATCCATATCCTGTCAGGACACATATGAATCTGAGCCATATTTCATTTTCTGACATGTGCACTACAACAAGAGTGACAGCGTCTGTGTCAACCAACAGCATCATAAGTAGTGGCAACAATTACCATCCTAAAATGTAACACATTGTAAGCACAAGTATTAAGCTTAATGGTAGGAGTCTCCACCCCGGGATTCATTTAGTAGAAATTATCACAGCTACATACAAAAACAGACAATTTATACCCCACTGAGAAACAATTATGGCACTCCATTTTGCTCTAGAACTGGGTTTAGGTAGGTGTGCATAAATATGTCCATCACTGAACTTGGTAAAAACAACATTCAATATTCATTGCTACAATTTTCCTTCTAAATTTATGGTGGAGAGCAAGGTCCAATCTTGGATGCATATAGTACAGTGACTCATGCTCCTAAAGTACACATTAGAGGCAGAGTTTAAAGGGCTGCAATTCACTGCAGAAATGTAAGAAATTGCCAAAACCTCTTGGTATACAATATATTTATGTGTTTCAGGGCTGACATTTATAACTCAGTGCATATCAGTGTGAAATTTGCCCCCTTAAAGGAACATTAACACGTATGCACACATGTCCAGTTGACAGTGAAATGTGAATAAGACAACTTTCATACAGTACGTGTTAATGTTCCCAGCTGTCAAGCATTAATGGAAATCAGGAGGTAGCTTTTTTAACATATAACGTCAGTGTAGCTTAAGTTTTATCCGTGTAGGAGCCTTGCTTAAAATGTTTTAATGTTTGATTCCCATAATCAATTTACACAGTATACTTAATACATTTAATGATACTTCTTAAAAATAGGATGTGAAATTGTTTTGTTGGAACAATACTAAATGTAAGTAACTTAAGTAACCTGCCCTGCACTGTTCACTGCGGAAAGGGATGCTATGTGTTCCTCATATGAATATAGTCACCATGCACTCTAAATTCCTAAGTGCCACTTTCCCAACACAGAGAAAGGGGTGCAAGAGGTCCCATCTTTCCCAAATTTTAATTGCTATTTGCTACTTGAGATCTTGGTTTGATTAAAGGAAAGTTGTCTGTCAATGTGGCTTAAGGTTACATTTTTATTATAAGATTCTGATCACATAATATTACAGTTTAACTTTGCTTCTAATCACAGTGAATTCAATCAAATGTAACTTATTCTAGGTGACTTTTATGAAATATTCACACAATACCATGTATAAAGTAGAATAGACTAATCACAGTTCGTGAAGTAGATGAACACATCCCACACAGCCAAACACGCTCCAGTCACATAAATGACATGAAGTCCCAATTTCACCCTTGAACCACACTTGAACCATCTAAGCAGACTTACTCAAAGTTCACTGCCTGGCCAAAGGAAAAGTCACCATCAAGACCAAAAAAGAGGTCATATAATTTGTCTTCATAATCCTCTGCAATGTCACAAGATTTATTTTCACCCAGTTTGCGTTAAAATTTCACTAAGATCTTGCACTTGATCATTGCACAAAACCTTCTTAAGCACATCCCAAAGAGTCTCAATGAAGTTAAGGTCTAGACTCTGCCATGTCTGATTAATGTGTGAGAATCCTGCTCCCTGAAACCCTCTTTCACAATTCAAGCTGATGCCATCACCTAGGGACATGACAATGTCACCGGGCTACTATGAACTCATGCTTAGAACAATGGCTAGATGCTTAGAACAGATCAGTATGAAGATGTGACTTAATTTTCCCCTTTTCTGACTTGAAAAAAAAAAACTGAGGTAATAAACTTCAGACCAAAGGTGGAGAGATCCAGATAACAGCTTCAGTTACTACAGCTAGAAACCACTGATTATGGCTGAAATCTCGGTATCATGATGGACTCAGACCTGAACCGTCCGAGGCACATAAAGGCAGTTACTAAATCAGCCTCATCACCCAGAGAACATTTCCAGGGTGTCCAAGCGAGAACTAGCAAACCTAATTTGAGCATTTATCTTGAGAAGACTGTGTCTTCTCAAGATAAATGTGAGTACACAGTTATAAGGACAAAACTGTGTCCTTATAAGTTTGACAAAAATATAGTCCATCAGAAACCTGCAGCTGATCCAAAACTCTGCTGCCCTTGTTCTCACTAGAACTAAAAAAGTAGAACACATCAGCCAATCTAAAGTTCTTACACTGGCTCCCTGTAGCTAGAGGTTTAAAGTAACATAGTACAAATACTTTGTTACCTTACTTAATTATAAATTTTGGCAATCTATACTTCAATGGAGTAATCATGTTTAGACAAATTTATAATTCTCCTTACATTTATTTGAAATTATCTCTCCTTTCTACTCCTTACATTTTCAAAATAGGCTTGTTAGTTTTTTCATTTAAGCTTCATTTTTGTTATGGTCTGTTGGTATTGGACTTGGTCACTGTGCCAAATTGTTGTTACCAAAATAAACAGTTTTTCAAGAGTTAGTTAGTTATAAAAGTTATAAAATAAGAAATTTAATTATGAGGAAGGGTAGTTCAGTCCTTGACGTCTTTTTACTGCATTACTTTTGCTTTTATACTTTAAGTAGTTTTAAAAATTTTACTTTTACACTTTTACCTGAGTAAAAAGCTTTATTTGATTCTCTAACTTCTACAAAAGTGTTTTTAAACAGTAGGATTTCTACTTGAGTAAGAAACATTAATAATTTTGACACCTCTGCCTGTAGCTCAGAAAATAGACTTTAAAATCCTTCTGTTGGTATATAAATCATTGAATGGGTCAGCACTTAAATACATAACTAATTTGTTGTCAATGTATGCATGTAATGTAGTTCTGTACACCCAGAACTAGAATTTAACAAGCGAGAAGCAGCATTCAGTTCCTGCTCAGATCAGTATATTTAGGTAATCAGCAGTCATACTGTTGCTGAACTTAATCTCAACCAACTACAGAAACCCCAAATCATACAGTAGCACTGTCCCTATACGTAGGCTTGTACAATAGGTATCAGGCCTATTGTACAAGCTTCTTACACTAATGCACCCATCACTCAGGAACAGCGTAAATCTGGACTCATCAGACCATGTGACCTTCTTCCATTGCTGCAGAGTCCAACCTGTATGCTCCTTAGCAAATGGAGGCCTTTATTTTTCCATTTAGCCTCATGATTAGAGGTTTTTTTAATGCTACACTGCTGTTGAGTCCCAACCCCTTAAGGTCCCTTTGCATTGTGCTTGTAGAAGAGCTCTTACTTTCAATATTAAGCCTTTCTCAGGATTCTACCCTTGTTTTCCTCAATTCGATTTCACCAAAACATTTAAGTGCTTGCTGATCACAATCGTTCTAGAATACTTTATAGGGCAACCTTTTTTCCTCAAACCCGATGGATCCTCCACTATTCTCCCAGTTTTTAATAATGCAATTGACAGTTCCATTACCTAATTTTGGAAGTTTCTACTTAGATATTTTTTTCTGCTTGATGTATCTCAAGGATTTGACACTTCTGAAACAGACTGACATCTTTTCCACTACCATAGGATTTGTTGTTTGACACAGGCATGTAACAAATGAGAAGCAGACCATTGCACCAGTAAATAACTTGCTGCAATCTAAATCATAATTGCCCATTCATTTATCCAATAGGAGGCTTGTACCCGTTTGCTCATGGATATTGGGGTCTATAGACCTGTTCCTACCTGTCTTGGAGGTTTACTGTACTTATTGGTCTGCATAGCTTGAATATATATATATATATATATATATATATATATATATATATATATATATATATATATATATATATATATATATATATATATATATAATTTTTTATTAGTTATTTTACTTCCTTCTAGTTTTTGTGAATTGCGTTTGTGTTTCTACTACAAATATGGCCATATTAAAAAATATATTATATCAAATATCAACAAACACTGAATAATGTTATTCACATAAGTTGTGCATGCAAATCATACTGTAATATTTTTCTAGAAAATGTACATCATGATGAACTTAGCTCCTATGAAATACTGTTTTCACTTTTGTAATAACTTGACCAAATCTTTAGGCATTTCAAAATCTCCATAACATGAATTAAAGGTCCACGGGTCTCAGTATAAATTTAAATCAAATCTTCTCATATATCTCACTTTTTCTAAATTCGTCGATTTAAGGATACAAAAAAATTAAATTATATATATATATATATATCATTAAGAAGGTAATATATTACAAATAGCTGATATTAGATTTAAATCAGTAGACAATATAGATTGGAAAATTTAAGGATCATACAAGGTGCCAAATCAACATCATCACCAAAACTAAAGTTTCAAGGTCTGTCATGCTGATTTTGTCCATTAAAATGTGCAAAGATAAGGCTTTAAGGCAAACAATCCTAGGGACAGTTAGGATCAAGCTGAAATAAAGCATGTGACAATGGACAAACTCACCAGAACAATAACAGCAGCAGGACCAACGAAGGCATAAAGCAGGCCACCCTCCAAAGACAACCAGCAGCTTTAGAAAAACAAGAAAAGAAAAAACAAATTAGAATTAGAACAAAAAAATTATTAAACTTTAAACAGCAAATCTACTTTAATTAAATATAATTGTTTTAGGTGTCAAAATAGTGGACAATTCACTAGCATAAAAAAAAGAATATAACCAAAACTTTATTTACTGCAGGTTAATTTTCATCAAATAAAGATATGTTAATGAGAAAACAATAGACAAGAATTTGATTAAGTTCAATTTAATCAGAAGCAATCCAAAACAAACTGTGTGACTACTTGGTAAGTAATCACTTTCCACCAGTCATGTTACTCAGTATCATGTTTACATCTAAGTGGAATTTAGAGACATTGCGAAGAATGAGTCACACAGATGTCTTTTACTTGTAGCTATTACTTATACATCTACATATAAGGGTCAGGCATACCACTAAACAAAAGAATCCCAACATAATATCAACCCAAGGTTGCTGTATTTAAAGTTATCTGTATGGTTCCCTGGTTTTATAAAGACTTCTGTTAACTAATGACACCAATAAACCTTCCTAAGAAAAAGCAGAAACTATCTGTAGAATCAGTTAGAAAGTATTTTATCATTTAAGAGCAAATGCCTGCTAACTGTGTTCTAGCTTTACTATCAGAGCAGGCCTTATTACTTTCTGTTTGAAAGATATTTCAGATAGAAAGGTTGTTATTTTGAAACAATGTTCAGCATGATTTTCGTCACATATAACCATGAACTTTATTTGAATTAACATTCAATACAAAGTTGGAACTGTCATAAAGTTTTTTTTTTAACATTTTGTTCAGATGAATCACTGTGACCTCTTCCTTTTATTAAAGCAAATATAATACAGTATTAGAGAGAGAGATCCACTGCTTTGCAAGCATAGGAATGACAGGCTGAGGCACACAGAACTGCAGCTCTTTTCCACCACCAACGTATGCCATTTGCTACTGGTCTGGTAGTCATAACAGGGCTACTAAATTTCTTTTTAACAAATAAGAAAAAAATAAGGCTGTTTAGACACATTAACATAATTACTTTTATAATGAGTAAAAAAAAAAAACTAAAGATGTCTGGCTACTTTAGGCAGGACCATGACTTATAAAAACTGGAAAGCAGGACTCCACCTAATACGAAAGAACTATGGCAGGCCGTTTAAGGAAACAGCTGTCATATAGGTGATGGAGGGAGGTGATGCTTAATTGCAATCATAAAGCTTTACATTTTGCATGTGAATGACAATAAACACATCGCTTTGAATGCATATTTGTTTTTTACTGCACAATTTTCATCTTTTTGGGGGTAAATTCTCTTAAAACAGCACTCAGGGATGCTTTACTCTCTAAAATGTAATAATTTAGTCATAAATACTGCAAAGTACAGAGAGACACTTAAAACTTGAATTTCTTAAGTGTCCTAATGATGCCTACTCTTAATTGCCTTGAAAGTATATTGTCCTCTACACCAAAATAACTTTAGAGCTGTTATGTAAAGCAAGTCGATTGAGGAAAAATAGCAACTGTGTATATATAAAAATATCACATTAAATTAGATTTATTTTCAATAGCAGACACTGGTGAAACCCAGCAGACTGATTATCACCTCGGAGTAGTACTTTTCAAAAGATTATTTGGCTTGCAAACATCAAGGAAACAGTGGAACTCCCAGAGCAAGCCCAGTAAATACTAATAGACCACAGACCAATTTAAGAGCAAATGAAAAGAAGCTGCTGTTATTAAGTGATGGGCTCCAAATTGAGTGGTGATTAAAGTGCAAGTGCAAGAAGGAACTCACTAGCTAGCTGTGCCATAACCTCTGGCTCTGGTGAAACCCACTGACACGGCAACAACAAGGGCTGGAAGACCTGTGGAAAAAACACAAGCGCACACACACAAAGAGAAAAGATCAAACGGGTGAGACAAGGGATGAAAGGAAGCACGGTTGATGATGATGGACATGTTGGCACAGCTTAGACTTTACCTACCTAAATGCAAGGCTTCACTGCAATGGCATGTACCACATGCAAACATAACTGAAACATCCTTCAAAGATACCAGTATTAATGTAAATGTGTTTACCAATACTAAAGTGGCGTACAATCCTTGATATTTTATCGCATTTTATCACTATCAAATAGTTTCACTTTTAGGGATAAATCCTCCAGAGTGGCGTGCAGCTGTAATACAGAAGAAAATTTTACGAGGTTTTAAAAAATTGGTTTTAAATTATATGTGTGCATGGTCAAAAAAATTGTGAATTAATTAGCTGGATAAAGTGTTGAATATATCATGCAGCAATCTATCGGCCTGTCTATCTATCTTTCTATATATCTGTCTCTCTCTGTAAATGAAAAGGAAGCATGACTGCTGCAGATTGCCTTCGTGAAAAAGAAGGAAAATCGCGGCACCCTATAATGAGTTTGGCTCTGAAAGATTCTTGTAATTAACAAAGCTGTGATTATGGCTGGTAATGAAAAGCAATTAGAAAAAGTCACATTAACTTTAACAAATAAGATGGTTAAGAGCCAAGCCTGTCCACCAAGCTGCCTGTGTCGAGTCTCAGTTAGTCAACAACATAAATCTTGCATTTACCTGCATAATATGGTGAAAACACACAAACACATTTATGCATATACGTATCTGGCTCTGACCCAAATCCAGATAACCTAAATTCCCTTGTCGCCTTGGCAACAGATTTCAATCACATAATTTGCTGGGAAAATTGCAAAACGGATGTAACGAGGGTACAACGTTTGATCCTCTCTGCTCGGCCCAACTGTTTCCTATGTTTAATGTGCATGTGTGAGTGTATCAGATAAATGCGCTACAGCCAACACACACCCTCTCCCTCTCTATGTCAGTATCTCACCATCTGTGACTGTAGAGAAGTCTATACATTCTCTGTCTCTATCAGGTAAGGGCATCAGTGACTTGGCAGATTAGACTGCTTGGATCAATACTGAGTGAAATGAGCAGATTGTGTTTGTGTGTTTGTAGGGATGGTGCAGTGTTGTAATTTCCAAAGCTATCTTGAAGCATCTCCCTGTGTTGTGCAGTTGTTATCATATCTTTTGATTATACACCTAACATTCCACGTCCATGTTGCACCAGGTTGTACAACATTGAGGAGACGGCATGATGGAGGAACATGTAGGCTGAATGGAATAGGTGGTGTAGAGCTGAATAGCACAAAGTGCACTCTGGGTGTGTGTTAAGCGGTTTGTCCCTGGATGTGTGTGGATGAGGAAACGGCATTAGAAAGTGTAAATATGGCTTTTGGGATATGAAGCGGTAAATAATTGCTTATAGAGCTGACAAATGGTATATAATGAGAATGCAGGAAATGAAGATTGTTAAGCATAATACAGGCAACAATTTCAACACTGCAAGATAATAAGCGGTTACATTTCCATTCTTAAACAAGCCGGTCTCGCTGCCCTCTATCTCTAATGCACCTCACGTAACACTTCTTCAATCAGGATTCAATTCAGAAAACTGTAATTATTTGCAGTGGGACTCAGGGGCAGGATAAAATTCCACTAAGAGTTACAAAAGAAAGTTTTGTTACTTGCAGCTGTCTGTAGTGAATTAAGGGTAGAGTATGTTCTTGAATAATGTAGCCTTGCTTAGCATTGTAAAACTGCCTGGTTTAGTCAAGTACCAAATCCTATTTCAGAAAGGGAGACTGGGGAAAAAAAATAAAAATTAAAAAAAACAGCTCTTCACATTACAAGTTCAGTCTAATTCCAAAAGTTAACTCATTTTATAAGAAACATATTTAAATAAATAAACAGGCTTAAATCTGTGAAGAATTAAAAGAACAAGCAAAAACATAAATACATAAATGGATAAAATAGCCTTTTACTAAAACATAAAAGGACTTTTATATTATTGAAAAAAAATTATACGTAAGCTTGAATCCCAAATAATTTTATGTAACTAAGAGCTGGTTGGCTTTTAGGAGGGAGTGCGGGAATATCCCACTTTCAACTACTGTTTTAGTATCTTGTTCACAACCTTTAATTTATGTCAAATTTTCCTTTTTTACAAGACTTTAAAATATTAATATAAAATAGTGTTGGGGTTTTATGCAGGATATTTCAGCTGTAGGCTTGCTTTAAGGGTAGAGTGGATAAACTTCTTTCGGCCCTCATCTGTTGGTGTCCAACATGCCAATCTTTGGGCTGTTTTTTCTTTTGCTGTTCATGCGTACTTTAAGTGTTAATGTATCCAGTGAGCTCTGATTTCAGCCATTCATTGTAGCCTTACTGTTCTTAAAATATATACCAAATTTTTTAGACTACAGACTCACCATAAGCTGCGACCATTCATTTCTTGAATAAACTGGAAGCTTACATATATAAGCCGAACTGGGCTATAAGCCGCTGATATCTACCGAACTGTTTCCCCCCAAAGAAGCTAATTATAAGATATATATGTATATGTCTCACCGTATAATTTAATTTTTACCTACATTTATTTGTTTATTGTATTTTTGGGGGGAAATTAATTGTAAGCTTATTTATTGTTGGAGCATTTATTTATTTCTGTATTTATTTTTAATTATGACAGGATTGTTCCTCCATAGGGCACAGCATATTGGCTGTTATCCGATACCGATCCAAGTCAACTGTTGAATGGATTAACTATATATCCTGCCATGTGAGTGGAAGATTTAGCCTTGGTATAAACAGAAAAATGGTTATAAATTAACATAGATATAAATTCATTTTATGTTATTTATGGATAAATAAGCAGCAAAAAGAAATAAATGTTCACAGGATTGGATTTCCGATTCCTGACCCATCTAAATAGTCAATATCAGAGTCAATATCTGATCCAGGTATCGGATCAGTGCTTCTCTATTATAAAGTTGATAGAGAAAACGCCAAAGCATTACAGTTAAGGCAAATAACTGACTGGGGTTGGCCATATACAAATACACAATGCACTAATTTATGTTACTCTAGTCCCTCATATACAGTTAAAGTTTGTAGTTGTAGACTGACAAAACAGTAAAAGAGTGATATAAACAATTTTCATCATTTCCATAAAAAATTCATTTTGACAAAAGTTGGTCATACTTATTAATGTCTAGAAACTACTAAAATCTGTTGTATGCAATTCCAGGCAACAAAATAACACTGACTATAGTTTTAATTCAAGCATGATTTGAAACAGATACAAAAAAGATAATCATAAGTGTTAAAATTATAGTCTATATGTACAAACAATGGACAGTTAGAGAAAATGTGCTTTAACCTGGATCAGTACATGGGTTGAATTTACGGTGAGAGATACTTTAGTTGTTTAGCTAAAGAAACGAATTGCACAGCAAAAACTGATCTAAAAATAAGGTAACATTTCTCAAGATCCATTTATTTACCCTTGATTTGAGGAGATAAATGAAGAAATCTGCCAATTGAATGGGTATTTTTGCCCTTAAATAAGACTATTACATATTATCGAGTTGTTTTTATCTTATTTGAAAAGTAACCCTCTTCCATTGGCAAATTGGCCGATAAACTGCTCAAATCAAGAAAATATACTTATTTGAAGGGAAATTGAGTTAATTACGTTTATTACTTTTCTGTAGTGTGGAAACAAGCAAGCAGAGGCTTATTTATACATAGCTTTTCTATAGATAAGCACCTTTTTTCAGGAATGAACAATTTTGTTTTCTCTTTTGCAAGTTCAACTACTTCTTACCACTGTCCCTTTGAATAATTTTGTTTTATTTTTTCTCTATTGCTCTGGATCAAGCACAATCAGAGAAGCACTGGATTAACATTCTAGTGGCTGCAATGACTTTCTATTCACATACAAATTACATGCAAATACATCCCAGGGAACAACGGATACCCTCTAAAACCTTTTCAACACACGTGTATCTGCTTGTGAGTATGCTGTCAGATCAAAGCTTTAGATAAAGAAGGGGTTTTCAAGGTCATTTAGGTTGTTTCTTTAAAAAAATGGCTTTGCCCATCTACTAACCAGGTAGCAGCAAGATTTTTCCATTACTATACAAGTTCTGAAATATTCTAAAAAAAAAATTCTGTCAAAGTATATCAACCTTTAAGCACAACTTTGACACATCAGAGGGAAATGTTTAGAAATAGGTTAGGTTATTTAAATTGAAGACTACCAATTTAAACAGATTGCCATATATACGGCAGTCAGTTTAAAAAACTCTGTCAGAGCTGGTTTCTGTCTCCAACTTGAGTGACGGCATAAACATTATGGTAAATCATAACCTTAAACAAGGTTTTGAGGCGATCTTATGTGAAACGTTTGCATGAGTGTGCTTACCCCAGCCGAGGCACAGAAAACGCTTGCGAATAATGCGCGACCTTGTTTTGCCGATGACGGCCAAGTAGGACTGCCACGCCTCAGTTAGTACCCAGCAAAAGGATGCCAAGAAGAAGAAGTGCAGGAAAGCAGCAGTCACAGTACAAAGCCCCTGTATGAATAGAGAGGTAAGTAAGAACTTAAAACGCACAGGCAAAGATACCTTTAAAAAAAGCAAAATAGAAACACAGAGGGGACAAATAAGGGGATTAAATAAAGAAAATACAAGTTAGACTTCAACGTTGAACAAAATAGTGCTTAATCAAAAAAGGCATTCTAATCCCGTAATGTCTTTGTTCTTTAATGGTAAAGGTGGTTTTGCAGTGCAATCGATAATGAATGCCACACAATGCAGGCTTGTTTAGCCAGACAGCTTGCCAAGCATGACAGCTTGCTTTAAACATTCATTATAGCCTTATATCTTGCATTTTTTTACTTTTTCTTTTATGCAGTATAGATTTATTTTAGAATAACAACCATCATTAATATAATCAGTATCAAAAACAATGTTCTAAATATGTGCACTTGGATTTACTTCACCTTGTTGAGTGTTTGAGATTGTCCTAGCAGAATCAACAAATTGGAGGCCAGGATTGAGAAGCAAAAGTTGACCAAGATGATCGATCTCTCTGACCGGATGTACCTAAGGAGGAGAAGATTATAAACATTTAGAAAGTCACATTTAGAGCCTTATAGACCTTATCGACTGCTTAGTCATCAGCTTGATCTTGGCTCCAGAGTGTAGCTAAGAGAAAAAAATAGAATGAAAAGAGGAGAAAATGAATCACCTCATCCCCTTCCTCTAACCAAACTGTTCTGTTCTTTATTAAGCCTCATTGCCTTCTTTGTCGCTACAGTTGACAGACACAAATTAGGCTATTTTCAATTTGCACTGGCAGAAGCGTGGAAATTAGTATTGCACGCAGACGGGATGTAAAACTGCAGATACCAGGTTTACACTATTAGATATGTTTGCATGTAGTCACCTCCAGAAGGCAGCATAGATTAGCAGCAGGATGAGGAGAGCGGTGCAGGAGACCCCACAGCCCACCATAAGGGGCACCGAGGGCATGCTGGCAGGACCCATGTCCTAAAACACAAGACAGAAGAGATAGGGAGTAAATTTTTTTATGTTCTCGAACAAAGATAAAAGGCAAAGCTCATTTTTAAAAGTGCAGTCGCAATGAGTTAATATATCATTGTAAGGTTAATTTCTTTCCACACAGTCATTCAGAACATTAAACTCAAATATTCATATCATATTTATGATGCATTCCAAGCTTTTGGTTATGTTGATGATAAGGAGCAAGACGATCAAAACCCAACAAAATATTCTCTATAGGTTTAGGTCTGGCCAGCATGTTGCTCACTAAAAAGTGTTTAGACAGTAAAGTCAATAAATGAGGTTTCATTGCTTTTGATAGACTGGGAGAACTTAAAATCATAGGACTCTGGACCACTGCAAGTATTCACTTTTCCTTGGACCTGGTAAGGTACTTGTCATGCTGTCATGGGATCAGATAAGGCTTAAAACATTGGTCATTTCTGACCAATGTCGTGGAAAGCTCTGCTTATGGTTGCTTTTTACAACAAAACTGACCAAAGCTTCAGTCCAACTCCTCTGATCTCATTTGTGCTACTGAATAGATTTTGCTTCCAAATACTGTATTCTCAAAACCTATTGTTATTGCTTGCACACTGTTTTACCCTTCTTATAGAAATTTTCTTAAGAGTGACAGCTAGACAACTGTAAATTTAATGGTATTTCCAATGAATGGACCTTTGAATTGTTAACATGTTATCTTTGGCATAAACCAATAGTTTTTTCCAATGGATTTCTTTCAATATTTCATCTGAGTGAGATACGCTTATTTAACACCAACTAAAAAAGAAACCAAGGGCAAGATTAAAAGGTTGAGCCCTTTTATAATATAAGGTATTGTAATCCAACATTAAAGCATTTAAAATGACAAATTAGAAAGAGACAGTTTCTTGGCTACTAAAACACAAATTTGATAATAAATATTTTGTAATACAAAAACAAGCAAACAAAAAAGGTAGGAAAATTATTTTGAACAGAAAACCCAAGGAAATTTAAACAAAGCACATAAAACTCTAAAAATTAATTTTAGATTATTTGAAGATACAAGATTCAAAAGCATAAAAAAAAGAGACGCAGACAGATCTGGCATTAGACCTAACGATCAGACCTAAGCCTTGTGTGCCTCGCAATATAAAATTGAACCCTTGAGCTTATGGCTGACTTTATGAGTTTGATGATTTTTTTTTGTGTTTTTTTTTTTATTAGCTCATAACAGAAAAGAATTTCAAAAAAGAAGGTTAAGAATATTGGTAAGAAGTGTTTTTGATTGCAATGCAGAACAGGTTTTACTACACAGGGATTTTGAACCTAAACTACCTAAAAGGCAAATGGATGGACAGACAAGCGGACAGACAGACTCCTGAACAAATTCAGTTTTAATCCCTTTAACAGCTCCTGCAAATGACAGGATATTACCTTTAATTAGAAACATAAGAGTGGGTTACCGTGAATGAAATGGAATTGGCTAATGACATACATTTAGCTTCTCCAAGTTTTTTTTTCTTTTGTTTATTTTGTTTTGTTTAAGTACTAGAGCTCTGCATCATATCCCATTGAAAATGGTTTGTGTCTATGAAGAGGCTTTCAGTGAAGAGCTGTGTAAGACTGTGTAAGACAATTTCACAATTATTTTTTTTTTTTTTGTGTTCTGGGATAAAAAAAAATAAAAAAAACAACAACTAAGAATTCAGCACAATAAAGCATTTCAGAATGTACTACTTAGCACACTTCCAATATCAAGATTTTTTCTTTGAAAGGATAAAAAGAAATAAACTAATAAAATAGACAAATGAAGCCAAGTGTATTTCCCATATCCTACTGAGATTATAATGGGCTTTGTGTTTCATTGTGTTTTTAAAATTGCAATCAAACAATTTACCTACACCCACAGCAATGGCTGAAGCGCTTTCTTTTATCCTCATAATGTGGCGCAGCAATTAAGAAAACAGACAAAAATAACTAATACAGTGAATTTAAGTAATTATATAATTACGTAAGCCGGAGCATCATATAAGTAAAATTTGTGCAGGAATATTGTAAGTGCTTCTGCCTTCTTAAAGATGAGAACTGTTGCACTGAAAGGTATTACTGATGGAAGGAAAGGGAATTTTCTTGCATCATTCTTTTCTTAAGAAAAAACTAGAATGCAACCTGAAAAGAATAACTAGTGAAGAAATTCACAGAGAGATGCAGCAGGAATAGTTAAGGACACGTACGTGAAAGGAAAGAGGAGAGCAGGGAGAAGGAAAAAGCAAGAGAAAGTCAAAGCTTCTCTTTCAGTGGATTTTCCCTGGCCTATCAAAGGAAGCCAGTTTCTCCAGAGGAAAGTGGAATAGGTTGGAATACCAATATGGCATACACACAGTAATACACAAGTGGGAGAAAGGAGGTGAAGAATAATCAAAAGAGTCTAAAGGAAAAAAAAGCCACAAAAGAAATGAGGAGGGAGTTATATGAAATCATCTGCTCTGGGAAATTGGGAAGTTCTCTGGGTGAGGGAGAGACAACAGAGAAAAAATGTATTTGATACTGCGTAGAGAGGAAGGTCAAAGTGTTTTAAAAAAAAAAAAAAATCCACTACAGCAGATCAGACAGATGTTGAATGACAAGAATGAAAACGTTTTTTTTTATAAAGTACGTGAATATTTTAATCAGTTTTAGTTCTGATAAATATCTGTTAAAATCCGACTCCTTTCTAAAGCCCTAGACGTTTTCTTGTACATTAATCAGAAAACCAAGGAAAAGGCTATGGTACAAAACAATATTAAAACCTATGAATATCTCATAGAATTCAAGTGTAGAACAGCTTTTAAAGACATTGCCATCGATCTTAACAGCTTAGGGAAGGATTGCATTGATCAGACAGTCTCAATAGAGTTGCATGGTAACACCAGAGAAGGTGCAAAGATCGATGTCCAAGGTGGGAGAATCTGTAACTGGGCTATTAGCTTATTACTTATACACTCAATAAAATCTATCCTCCATGGAAGGCTGGTTAAAATAAAGCTATAGTTAAAGGAATCAATTATATTCTGTTTGTCGTATGCAAACATGAAAGGCTAAATAGGGGACAATACAATAACGCACAAGCTGCTCTGACTGGATGAGACAAAAGAAGAGAATCTTGGCTCAATTGCAAAAATCTCCATGTGACTTGCCATGGTGGAAATAGTGCTAGATGCTGTGGGTATTCCTTTATTCAGCAAAGACATGTAAACTGGTGTGCAAGGAAACAATGTAAATAAATTTGGCGCAAACCTAGAAAGAAATCCTGTCAAAGCATGTACAACACAACTATAGAGGAGATTGTTCTTCCAGTATAACAGCATCTCCTCATACTGAGAGAGTCCAAGTGGATTAAAAACATTAGATCTGTTTGAATGGTTCAGTCAAAGTCCAGAGAAAATATGGAAATGAATATTAGAAAAATCTCCAAAGACTCTCTTAATCCAATCCGAAATAGCTTAAAAAGGAATAAGCCATAAGGACTGAAAAGGTCATACCTGAAAAAGTCCATAAAGAAACTTGTGCCTTACCTTTTGTAAGAAATTAGCCTATATGAGATGCAGAACTTGGGTAATTTTTAAGAACTATTTTAAGATCTTTTTGAACTCCTCGTACAGGTAATTTTGTCACCAATTGGAATGCATAAATTGCATTTTTAAAATTAGATTCAGTGCACCATCTAACACTGTCTCCCACAAAAAGTAATTTAATTCCTCCAAATTAGTCACACAGTCGAGAAATTTTTAGGCTAATTTGTGTCTCACAAATGCCATGCCCTAAAAGCATACAATGAAACTATATACTGTGAAACATAGTGACTAGGTACGAGGTTCTTCTGTAGATGGCCAGTTCCCCCTGGGCAGTTCAGCTACCATTTGATGGAGAAGATAGCTATTTTCAGCTCAGGAAGTTTAACCTACTTATCTCCTCTCCCTGAGACTTCCCCTCACTTCTCTCCCACCCATCCAGCTGTACCACCCTTAGTTTCTCTCTCTCTTTCTGTATGTCACCCATTCTCTTCTCCATTTCCTTTACATGTTTTTTCCTCAATACTTCATCAACATGTCTTTCACATCAGTGCACTTGTTAATACAGCCTCTAGAGGAAGTTTCTTAAATCCATTGTCTGGCAGCCTCTTTGCATACGCATCACACAGTCTTTGAGGAGAATTTTGAGTCTCAACAACAGAAAATGTTATGAATCTGATGAAAACAGCTAAATGCAAGAAGTGTTAGGGGTAATTAAAATGCCTTTGAAAAACAATAATTAATGGACACAATCTCACTTGATAAAGCATACTATTTCCCTGGGGAATGAAGACTGTATAACGTATTTACCAATTTTACCTATTATCTCTTTAAACTGAGAAGACAAATATAAATATCAATCATTCTTGGAATACACGATATCTTCTATTATTTCTTTTCCTTATGCCAAAACTTTTACAGTAACTTTTATTGTGTTTAAGGCTGCTTGGTGGGTGGCACTGCTGCCTTGTAGCAAGAAGGTTTAGGGTTCGATTCCCTGCCCGGATTCTTTCTGCATGGAGTTTACATGTTTTCCCTGTGCATGAGAGGGTTCTCTCCAGGTACTCTGGCTTCCTCCCACAGTCCAAAAACATGACTGTTAGGTTAATTGGCTTCTATAAATTGTCTTTAAGTGTGAGTGTGTGTGCATGGTTGTCTGTCTTTAGCCCTATTTACACAGTGCCGACCTCTGCTCCTTAAGACCACTGACACACCATGTTAGCATGGTTCCTCGTTTCCAAGTGACGAAGAAAAAGGCAGCTTTAGGGAGCTTTAATTGGTGGTTGCCCGCTTGTATGCAAGGGTCTGCTGCTTTGGACAGAATACTGATGGACTGCAAGAATCACATCTTGAGATGTACATTTTCACTTAAAAAGCTGTTTAATCTATTTTTTTTCCCTCATTCATAGAATCAAATAAAGTCAACCAACTCGCTTGATTGCCATTTTATAGAGA